CCCGCTTTACGGGTAGGCAGCTTCACCGCTTGCCGGCTTGCCTGTTCGCATACATGGCACAGAGTTTCTGCCGGTACCCTGTTTTTGCTTAGTAAATATTTCCGCGCTTAGCAGATTTCCGTGCAGTGTTGAGCAGTGAAATTGTTCCAATTTGCTATGAGCTTGAATCGGTCAAAACAAATCACCAGAAAAATATGAGTAATTAGGATGCATGCACTTTATCAAACTTGAACCACTTTTCATGAAGGTATCTACAGACAAAAGCCAGGTGACGTTGGGTGTAAGTAATTGTTCAAATTACTTAATTTGGGAGTTCAGGAAAGGCTGTGCGTAACTCCACTGCCAAGGCTGTACATATCCTGCCTGGACAATTGAACAATTACATCGCCTGATTATGAGCCTCGCTCGTGGAACAATGAACAGTCTTTGGGGGGGGGGGTGACAAACAGAGTGACATATACAGGCAGGGGCGGTGGAAAGGATGTGGTATGATGAATGCACCCTAGATCCAAGCATTGTGATACTGATAATGTAGAGAGATACATGTGCAGGTACTGTACAACTAATTCTACCTCCATGGTCGTGTGCACTGCCGAATGAAATTATGTCCTGTAAAAACCCACCCCCAATGTTAAACATGAGAAACAGCAACCAGAATTCCGTGTACAAGTACCCCCTCACAGTTAGAACAATGCACAGGCGATGTAAGGGGTACAAGGGTGCAGGCCAGTAAATCGGTCCGAAATTGCCTACGCCGGCCAAATCACGATTTACATGCCCTCAAATTGTCCGGTATAAGAGCATTTTGAGGGCCATGAACTTGATGATTTGTAGAAAAGAAGGTTGGAAGCCGTGCAGAGGACTGCGAGCTTGTATTTCTGTGAAATGTGGATGAAATTAGGCCCTAAAATGGCTCTATTTTGAAATGGAGCGTAGGCGTCCATTTTCCAAATGGTGATGGGCTTCAGGGCTGCTTTCAGGGGTGATCCTCTTTGGATGGAATTTTCTCCCAAAAGTCATAGGTTAACCCCCCAAAAAACGAACAGAAAATGAAAGATGATGAAATAAGCTTTAATTTGATGTATGTTTTAAACACCTCAGTGAGTTGTGAGAATTTCAAATAATTTTGGGAAGTGCGCGTATTACCACCTAGGTCTATGCAGTCTATTTACTGGTCTGGACCAACAAAGGGGGGGGGGGGGGTTATTAGGAGTGCACTCCTTAAAAAAAAAAGCTGAAGAAAACAGGATGGTTTAAGTCAATATTGAACTGTGCATAATGTATGTAAATTGTTTCATCCATTTTTAACAAGGCAATTTTCCAGAAACTGGTTTTAAACGCTGTACATAGATTTTGGAACAGCGCCCGAGGTATCAATGTATGTGCTGCCCCCATACATCCATACAAATTATATGAACGTAAACTTTGGTGTTAAATAAACATGTTTACTTAGTACTTATTTTTTTTCTTTTAATTTCCTATTTTATTTGTCAACATATGATAATAAATACTGCTTTAGGTTGCGAGATGATCCCTTTAATGCCTCTTTAATGATGCGAATGCACTCTATTCGCAGTAAATTAGCCGCAATAATTGGGCCTCTGGCAATGCAAGCTGTTACCCACAGCCTGCATAGTTTATGAGGCTAGCGCATTGTTACTGAATGGCAAATTATATTCACTGAAGTAGCTTTTTGCGTTAGCTTAATGGAGAGTAGCGCTGACGGTTTCTTGGCGTAAATTTACACCTCGTGATCCCGTAGAGAGCTGTATGACCTTCAAGATTCGCTGATCGGATCTACGAGATGGTCATCGCACGCAGAGATCCGTGCGCCGTACCACCCTCGTGATTTGTTGCAACCGTGCGTACCGGTACGAAACGACCCAAGGCATTCGTGAATCGTGAATGCATTCAGAGACAGATCATAATGTGATGTGGACGGATAACTCGCGCCGAGTTTTTTTTGCATATTTCTGATTAGATTCCAGCCGTTTGTGCAAATGTTATGCAGTGCGCTCGAGCTGACAGCGGTCTTCTGCTGTGTTGGTTTTTTAATGAGAGTCTGCAACAGTAGATCATTGAAGTTGATACGTAGTGATGGGTTGCTGTTGCCTGCATGAGGTGCTAGGAAATTTGCAATTTGAGGATCGTTTTTGTGACGATGTCTGCATTAGGATGATGGAGAGGAAAGCGTGCGAGGGAGGTTGTAGGCAAGCGAAGAAAATGAAATCGTCTGTTACCATCTTTCATTTGAGGACCTTATGTAATCACTTCTTTCCTTTGGCTATCTGCTCAGCACACCAACTACCGAGGGCAGCATAATTACCCATTGCCCTGTGAAGTGATATGCTGCTGGTTTGCCACAGTGTTTATCATGTGCAGTTTTGACCCATGCTTTACTGCACCCTCCAAAATGCTTCAATATTTATCTTAAACGACGAGGATCTTTTGTAATTGCTACACTCCTATTGCTATCGGCTCCGTGCATGGCATGACGAGGGCAGTATAGTGACCTATTGCTCTATGAAGTCACATTATAATGCCAGAGTGTTGTGCTGTTACAAGCCTGTGACACTTGCACTTCTACAACCTCCAAAATGCTTCAATGTTTGCCTTAAAGGATGAGGATCTTGATGTAAATAAATTGCAACGCTACACTCCAGTTGCTATCCGCTCAGTGCATGACCTTACGAGGGCAGCATATTGTTACCTTTTGCTCTGTGGAAGTCACATTTTGCTGCTGTGCAACTGTGTTTGGCGTTCACAGTCCTTATAACCCTCGCTGTACTACATGTAACCCCAAAACACTTCAGCTTTGCCTAAAACAAAGTCTGTTTGCTGCATGGATGTTACTTTCGGATGAGCATTAGGGCTTTCAACTTTTTTTTCGCAATGTACCGGTACAAAAGTGTCAGGTATGAGAAAGTGGACAAGTTTTGGATGAGGATTTTCTATGCAACACTGCTCCTGTGGACAGGGCATCTTCTAAATTCTGCCCAGTAACATTTGTCTTCAATCAGATCATGGTTCTTCAAACGAAGGAAAAAACATGCAGCAGATGGGAAAACTCTACACAAAGTTGCAGTTTCTTTGAATGTTTGTGAGCAGTGCCACACGGCCCTTCAAAGGTTTTCCTTAAAACCGGTATCCGCAAGATAAACTGAAAATCATCCCGCCGCTGCACTTTCTAGGTCCAAATCTAATTAGATTTTATCGCTGTTTCGGAGATCCCTTCGTCTCTTCTTCCTAATCCCAACTTTGAATTTTTCGCATCAGCTGTTCAAAATTCGTCAACGGTGTGAGTTTGTCTGGGAGCCGACCTCGCGGTTTTTCCTAGGGATTTTTTTGCGTGTTATCCAACGTCGTGGATTTATACCTGTCTTTGACGATACAAAAGAGATGAACCAATCACGAATGAGAAGCTTACAGCGAAGTGACAAGCGTGCGTGCATGGCAATGATTCACTACGTTTCATCCTTAAACCTATAAGCTTCAGTTGTCGGCAAAACTTTGGTGACAAAAATTGAGTCCCGTTCTTCGAATCAGACTTTTATTCGACAGTTTGTATTTTTGTGCCAAAGAAGAAAGATCACTGTTGATTTTGCTTTTTTAAATATTTTTACATTATCTTCAGTTTGAAAAACAAAGAGTTTGAACTATTTGACTACATGTATGTTTGAACCGTATTGACTCATGTGTATTAACTTGTACCCTCTTCATGTGACCAAAATGGACCTTAACATGGGCCTTGGCAGAAATGGTGCAAAGCATTCGTCAGCAATAGTAAACTTTTGCGCACTTATGACAGAGGCTGTAGAAGTTCATTAAAAGTCGTGTTTTAACGCTTTAAACTTTAAAGTCGCTGCAGTCACGTCATAGTGACATATTTACAGGAACATATTTCATAAAAATCTACAAATTTCTTTCAGATAAAAAATGTATTCCGTCACCATTATGTAACCACCTGCCAGGAAACGTTTAGAGTTGACAATTCATTTCCCGACTTTAATACGTAATATTCTTTATTTCGCCTCCTGGCTAAGTCTCAATTGACAATTTAAATTCCGTGTTGATGAATGACGAGCCGTCAGCCGCCCAGACGCGCCCAGCTAACACCAACAACGGACATCTCGGCTTTCGGGCAATCAAGAAAAACTAGGAAGGGTTTCATCCAAAGCCGAGGTCATTAAGTCGACTTTAAGGGATCAAGCCCCAAAAGAACACGTGCCCCCTCTTCAGACTCACTCAGAATTGCATCTTCCTGCCTTAAGTTGGCCAGCCCGCCACCCACTTCCTGCATCCTGATTGGCTGGAGGGGACTACCTGAATATCCATGTCGTCTCTAATTGGTTAGAACTCGGTAGTACATTTTGCATGAGAATCAGCAGTGTCATTGACAAAGTGCACCATCTGCCTCTGATTGGCCACTCCAAGTGACATGAATAATCATTCACTCCTTGATTGGATGACACGCGCGGGTAACATTTACATAAATAATCAGCGAGGTCAAAAGAAGGCATTGCAGTGGAACAGATCTTGTTTGAGAGTTTCCTGAAGGAAACCGATCAGATTGTGGCTGGGCTATAAATACCGTGAGAGCAGCAAGGAGTGGGCATACAGACGTTGTCAGGAAGAGGCCCCAGCTGCTAAAACTTGGACTCGTTCCGTCTTTTTTAAGTGCACGACTTCTCTGCTCTGCAAAACTTTTCTTCGTGACTTGGAACTGTGTTGCCGGGGAGTGCACTTGTAAATTTGTGAACAACTTGCCTAAAGAGGAGCGCATAGAATTCAAGCCAGGTTTGAATGTTTGAAAGCAGAGAAATTTGTCTCGGAATTTGGCCTAGTGTGGGAATGGACTTTGCGCTCTGAACAAAGAGCGCAGCATTTTAATAAACTGAATTGTAAAACTTGGCAGTTGATTTACGTCGGCAGTGGAGAAGCTGTGATTTTTAGGAAGCAAGTCTCGTTTTTTCGTGTGAGGATTTGAGTTCTGATACAGGATGGCATATCCCAGCTACGCAACTCTCAACAATGGCTACAAACAGCCGAGGACCCATAACCACCACCATCACCGTCGTAACATCATGCCGCAGACGAACCCCCGCGTCAGCCCGCGCCGGGGCCTCCACCGCAACATGAACAACAACCAGAAGATCTCGGACATGCTCTTCGGCGAGCGGCCGCGCTTAAAGATTGCCACCAACGGCTGCTTCGTGGACCGAAACAACAACAGCAAGCCGCCGCGGGATGTCTTCAAGAAACCCGCCGACCCACCGAAACCCAAGCGGCACCCTGTTTACATGGAGACCTCTTTCCTGAACGTGTACCCTGAGGAATACACTCTGGACCCCCCGACCCTGTACACCGATGCCCCCTCCCCCTCCCCTCCCTGCTCGCCCCCACCCTTCCTGCCTCGACACGAGTCGGCACAGCTGATGAACTCGTTGCTAAAGCATGAGACTCGTTACCGTAGCAACACCATGGATTATCTGCACGAAGTCAAGCAGTACATTCTCAGGACGGCCCGAAAGAACCGGCGGAAACCGATACGTAAGCTTTCATGAATTCAACTTGTTTAAAATGTTATACAATGTAAAACCTTTCCCTTAAATCTTTGTTTAACAATGCACTTTACTTAAGAAGTTCCAGTTGAATTGTCTTCTAAAAAGGGAGAGAGAATCACTAATGCATTACATATATACATGTACGTGTATCTCCACACAATTTAATACGTCAAAATTGAGTCCTGCAAATCGAAAAAGTTTTAAGCAGCTCAGGTCGACCCAAACAGATTTTGGTTTCAAACAGGCGAACTTTATGCAATAATTTTCTGTAAGTAGACTCACGACTTGTTTCAAACGACTGCAGGCTTTGATCTTTGAATGACTTGTGTATGTAGTTACTCCTGTTTCAAATGTTAAACTGAATTCACATCTTTTGAATAATTTGGCTCGGCAAAAGTATGGCATGCCAGTGTGTGAAAGGGTGTACATTTTCACAATTTGTATCTTCGCTTGTTCTACACTACATTTTAGGTGCCTGAACATACAGGTTGAACCAGAACTTTGCCATGTGGTTTTAGAATTAAGGGCTTTTTTGTCACTGTACCGGTATTTATTCTTCAGACTCATTGTTATGAGGCCAATGGTTTTAAACTTTCTCAGAATAACAAAATTCACAGAATTCCTGTTATTAAATTGAAGTCCACTTGTGAAGTAAACCTTAGCGTGTACACAAAAGAGATACAAAAGTTTAAAATGATCAATGAACTCTGAAAATTTATCAATTCAAGGTGTGACGTTCAACTTCTGATTTGGTTTGATCCCAACTTCTGTAGCAAGTTGCTGTCGAGAAGTTTGTTCGAATCCTTCATCAGCTGACAAGCAGAGAGAGTTTTTTTGTGCACATGTACAGTGTTCCGATGAGAAGTTTTATGTTGTAAAGTGTTTTGCTAATGTTGCGTTTAAACATTACGTTTAAACGTTTAAATGGTCACAAATCCAACGCGTAATCGTTTAGAAAATTAGACGTACGATCCCAACCCTAATCAGTGTATTCTCTGAGGAGTCGTCTCCATTCACTTTCGACAGGAAGATTCTACTAAAAAGAAAAAAATCTTGATACTTTATTGTTGGTCCCTAGAGCCGCGTACAGGGATAAAATCGGATGTGCCAAAGGCAATGGAGGATTCAACCCTACACTTCTGTTACATGTTTGTGCAGTCCAAAGATTTCCTGTGGCTGCGGAGCTCTGGTCTTTATCATGTGTCAGATTTATTGAAACTTCGGGAGGCGAATTGATTTAGGATTTTACTTGAGGCCGATGTTTTTCTCTGAGCTTTTCGAAGAGGAAACATATTGTTAGCAGATTTACTGGTTCAGTTTAAACGAATGCTATTTTTGAAAGAGCTCTATTACAGCTTATTAAATAAGCAGAAATTAATATAATTTATTTCTGGTAATGAAACCAAGGATGCATCAAAAGCGCACTAGGCACTGTAGCTCGCAAGCCTGAAGAAACCTGTAGAAAGAAGACAATGAGAAGAAATTACAGTTTTAGAGGTTTAGAGGAAAAGCCCAGAAGCATATTCTGGGGAATACCCACGGAATCAGGTAGGGACTGAAAACCCAATCCACATGTTTCAAACCCGGGTCACAGCGTTGGAAGGCGAGGAAAGTACCACTACGCCAACCTGACTCCCCTGACATTTTTTTCAGCGCAAGAAATCTGCTGAGCAAACACAAATTTGCTAAGCGAAAACCGCTTACCAGCCAAAATGCCATGCAGAGTATAATGCGTTTGACAGGTTCCCATTTGAAATTCGCTTAGAACATAAAACACTGTTTTCTGCTTACCAGCTTCATGAAATTTGGTACATCTATAGACCCCAACCTCCAATATATGTCACATCAAGATATTTAACCCATGAATAGACCGTTCCAGATTTCAGCCATAAGCCCCGCCCACTTTGGTTTGTGTACATTTGTCACAGTGCTTGTAACCAAGTTTGACCAAGCTACATGTAGCATGGTCACCTGACCAAAAGTTGAGACCTGATTGGTCAATGTATACTGACTGACTGGCAGGAATCCATGGCCATGGGCCATAAACCCCGCCCTCCTCTGGTTAAGTGTACATTTGTCACAGTGCTTGTGACCAAATTTGACCAAGCTACCGTGGTCACCTGACCACAAGCCATGACCTCATTGGTTAATGTAACCTATTTGATTGACAGGCAGGAAGAGTCCATTGCCATGGACCACAAGCTCCGCCCACTTTTTGTTTGTGCACATTTCTTACAGTGTGATGGGACCAAATTTGGCCAAGCTACCATGGTCACCTGACCACAAGTCATGACCTCATTGGTTCATGTAAACTATTTGATTGACAGGCAGGAAGAGTCCATTGCCATGGACCACAAGCCCCGCCCACTTTTTGTTTGTGCACATTTCTCACAGTTTGTGACCAAATTTGGCCAAGCTACAATTGTCACCTGACCAGAAGTCGTGATCCTATTAGTCGGTCTGCACTTTTTGATTGACAGACAGGAAGGGTATATTGCTACAACATTATCCTAGAGAAATTGAGTACCCCTCATTTGTGTCGTTAGGCAGCGGTACCATAGTTCCTTCCTTTGGGCATGTTTTTCATTAAAGCATTAACTCAAAAAGCCGGCAGGTCGGTCTCTGTAACCTAATCGAGTCCGATTACTTTCCCTAATCGGAAGCGAGAGTTTAGGCATACTTTCTGTTGATAAAACATGTTTGAGCTTTTGCCCATTTTTATTTTATATCTATCTCACTGACTGACTGTTACTTGTGAAGTAGACTGGTTGTAGACTGGTGAAGGGAGTCGGGCAGTGCTATCATATAGGATAACCCTGTAATGCCAATGGGCGGGCTAAATCTGGCCCATTGTGAAGACCAGATGCATGAAAAGACTTCCAGTGAATAGCCGTTCTGAATCAGTTGCCTAGAATTTTCTGCGCTCTGACTAAGGCCATCTTTACTACATGTACGGTAGACTTGTCTAGACTTGTTCTTTAAGCAGAAAATAGTGTGAAAAACACACAAAGTTTTAGCTGAAAACTGGTTTTACTCTGAGCTTTATTTCTGTGCTAAGCATATTTTCATGCTCAGCAACTCCAGGACGAAATTTGCCCTAGGATGTCTCATTTCTGGATCTGAAGTGACTTCTTTACTCCGCAAGGCTGTCACTCATTACATGGGCGCCAACGGGTTTTTGTTCCGTCTCCTGTCCCCGATTGTAGTTCATTGTAATTATGCTACCTGTCAGTTGGGAAGACAATTAAATTTATTGTTGGGTTTTTGCTCGTCTGGTTCAAATCAAGTACGCTGACCGAAGAAAACGAGAGAGAAAATTAGATGAAACGTCAGGGAAGGAAATTTAGTTAGGCGGGTGTTCTGATTGTCCTCCACCGAGACTTCACTTTCAATTTGCGTTTTTCGAGAGTTAACTGATTGAACTTTGACTTTGCCCGCGCGGTGAAACGGACTTACGGTGTTGACGTTTTGGGTAGGATTAATCTGGGTTGATTGAAATTTGAACTGAGGTAGATAAAGATTGGGGTATGTGTGGGTGGTGAGGGCTGGTGCTTATCGGTGACCCGGGTTCGAACCCCGTCCAGGCTGAAATTGTGTGGGTTAGGGGTGCAAGGGACAGGTTTCTGTCAGTGGTGCTTTCCTTATGTCTCAAGTGTCTCTGTGACCTGGGTTTGAATCCCGCTCAAGCAGAAATGTAGAGTAGGGGGTACAAGGGACAGGTTGGTGCAGTGGTGATTTTGCTTGTGTTTTGTAGCTTCTGAAACATGTATGTCCCTGGTTCGAATCCCTGGTGCAAGCTGCCTTAGTGGTGCATTCTACATTTCATGATTTTGTGACCAAGGTTCAAACTCCCACCCAAACTGAAATTTACGAAGCTAGGTTTCCTGAATGATCTGTATTTGTTACAAGGATGGTGTACTTCCCAGGATGAAATAGTGTGGTTTGGAGTGTAGGGTCAGGTTTGTATGGGCTCCGTGTACAATTACAATGTAAGTGGTAAGAAAGGAGAGTTGGGGTAGACCACTTGGAGAGACAGTCGAATGCATTGTCTAGACACGTGGCACTCGTGCGAAGACACCATGTGCTTTTTGCGTATTCAGAATAAGATTAGATGTGCGTACTTTGCGCTTTACGTGCGAAAACCAATACACACACGTGGTGTGACTCATCCGCTGGGCTCTCAAAAGTGGTAAAAATGCGCCCTCTCTTGTTTGCACATGGAGCCTATTTCATTTGTGCCTTGTATGCAATGGACGTTCAACTCAAACCTGGCTCACATGTAAATGGTGGATTTTAAGAAGTTCGGATGGTATTTGGCAAAAATATCTATGACGTTAGAGTCAAACTATAAATTAATTGACTTAAACCGAAAGTTTCGTCACTGCATTCAGTTTCTGGGCACGGCAGTACACCATGGTTTCCATAGTAATCACCATGCAAAAAAATCAATTAAATTCGAACCAAATCAATCATTTCCTGTATTATTTCCTCCCACACCGCACACCTTTGCTGTACTTTTTTCCAATTCAAGGATGTTAGGCATACATGTACATTCCCTGTACCGGTTGTCCCTGAATTTATATACGGTAAAGTGCCTTCAGTATCCGCATACGTAACAAAACTCTCACCACAGAACGTGAGGGTAAAGGAAGGGCCTTCAGTGTTTTTGTAATATTTTCACAAAGTGTTTATGTTTTCGTCGCAAGTTTTGTGTAAATCAAACTGAACACTGGTAAAAAGTGGTATCAAGATTTGGGTGAAAGTTTTTGAAAAAGAATGAAGTTTGAAGAAGCCTTAAACCGTCCAAGCCGCTGGTCATTGGAACTTTGGGAGAGGAAGTACGGGTACTGCAGTCTGGCTCCCGACTCGCTGCTTTCCATTTCACCCCGCCGGCGTCACAGTCCGCGACACCCGCGTTCGTCATCCCCGGTCAAGACAAAATGCCGCCGGCGCTCACTTGCTGTTTTCTGTTTGTCCGCAGTGTACAACTTGCAGCAAGAGGCGCCCAATCCCAAACGGATCGTCTGCCTTTTCCCGACGGACAACAAGCCGGCGCACTATGGTAGAGAGTGAGTATGCTCTTGTTTTTTTTCTGTAGATTTTAGAACCTGTAGGCCTGCCCAAAAAAAAACACGAGCAAGTTCAGGCAAGGACTATTGACTAGTGGTAACCATCGATGCAACCATGCTCTGTGGTCCGGTTCCAAAAAGTCGACTAGAGAAGTCTGACCGTCCTTCGGTCGAGAGAAGTTAGTCAAACTATGGTTAAACTTACATGTAGTCCTTGCTCCAACCTGCATAGGCTGGTTCTGAATAAGTGACTTGACAGTTCATTTGAATAGCTTGTGACTTGAGACGGACTCGAAAAGTTTTGTTTGACTTGTGATGGACTTATGAGGACATGTCGTGGACTTGGGAGGAGTTGTGATACTTGTGATGAACTTGTGAGGACTATATAACTAACTGTTATTGAATACATGCTAGTCAAGTGCATGTATGGTTTGACAAATCTAGTGACTGTACAGAACCAGACTACATGTAGTTGTGAGGTTGGAAAGATTGCTGGTAATCAGTTGCCAGTACTGTTGTGATTAAGTCCATCACAAGTCCTCACAAGTTCATCCCAAGTCCTCACAAGTCCTCATACTTGTCAGTCCTCACAAGTCCTCACTAGTTAATCACAAGTCCTCACAAGTCCATCACAAGTCCAAACAAGTCCTAATAAGTCCTCACAAGTCCTCATACTTGTCAGTCCTCACAAGTCCTCACTAGTTAATCACAAGTCCTCACAAGTCCATCACAAGTCCAAACAAGTCCTAACAAGTCCTCACAAGTTTCCCCACAAGTTAATCACTAGTCCTCACAAGTTAATCGCAAGTCCTCACAAGTCCTAACAAGTCCTCACAAGTCATCACAAGTTGGTCTCAAGTCCTCACAAGTCATCACAAAGCATCTCAAGTCCTGACAAGTCAATCACAAGTCATTCGTGTATAAAGTCAAGTCACAAGCTAATCAAATTTGTGATTGTTCATTCCCTGTCTGTACTTGTGACTGGACTTGTGAATTGACTTGTATTTTCCTTGTGACTGGACTCAACTACACACTAGGTAGCCATGCTAAGTCAATACATGTATGTGCGAGGACATTGCCAGAGAACTAGGAGTGAGATTTGTGACGATTGTTGAATCATCTCATTTGTAATTTAATATGTGCTCATAGGCATAAGGTACATCACAAATCAACCGCTAGTTAACCAGTTTTCCTTGATCGAACTTGCCCCACATGTCCTGAATTTTCCCAAGGGCTTTGCTGTACCATCTTCAACAAAATCCTGTTATACATCTGGTCCTCATTTCCAGTACCAGAAATTCTGAGTAATTGAGTAATAATTTCAGGATATTTGAAAATCGTGACACGGGTATGTAACCCAGGTGCTGTCCAGCTGCTGAACATAACATAATATTGCTACCAAACTTTACATGCTTAGCAAAACTCAGCCGAGTACCAGTTACAGTCAGTGTGAATTCCATGGTATTTTGGCTGGTATCCCTTTTCAGCTTAGCATATATTTTCTGTGCTGAGCAAATTTTTGTTCATGGAACTTCTAAGCAGAAAAAATAGTTGCTAAGCAAGGTTGCATGCAAACCGAGTACCAATCAAAAGCAGTATGAGTTCCATAGCATTTTGGCTTGTAACCCAGTTTTGCTAAGCAGATATTTTGTCCGCTTAGCAGATTTCTATGCTTAACAGGGAGATGAATTTGCCCATTTGCACATAGACTATACAATATATTGCTATAAGCAAATTTTACATGCAAACATATGCCGAGTGCCAGTCGCAAGCAGTATGACTTTGGCTGGTCCCCAATTCCGCTAAGCAGATAGTATTTCTGTTTAGTACATTTCATCTGCTAAGCTCAGTAAAAATGACTACGTGTACCTGTCATTTCGCTCTTACAGTCATCGCTTGAAAATTTCATTAGGCGTGTCATGTCCCTACACGGGTTTCTAATCATCTCATATCGCATCCAGGAAGGGTTTATCATAAGGGTATGATCCTGAGTTTCTTCGTGGGGAAGCTATGGGGTTTATTGTTTCAGTAATCGGAGACAGACCTCCAGGTGATGCGCATTTTGACGGGAAGGATGGGCTGAGTTCCAAAATCATAATTTGATAGACTTTTCAGAAATGAGGATTGAATTTTTTAGAAGTGAATCATGGATATACCGTAAATGCTCATCCGCAGGTTTCATTTTCTATTTATTTATTTCATTTCTTTTGGCATCACGCTTTTTAACCTTTGAAGTGTATGAATAAAAGGCATATCAATAGGCTCATTTGCATTTATCCCAAAAGTAACCTTGCAAAATTATCAAAAAGCTTATTTGGATTAAAGATCGTACTGGTACTACATGTAAACACCCCATGAAATTATTCCGCCTGGCTTGCTGTTAAATCAAAAAATGTAGGTGATTTCCAATAATCAGTCAACTGACCCATTTTTGGAATAAAGAGTTATATTGACAAAATCTTGTTTCGTGATCAAAAGGTTGTGCATGATTTTCCACCATTTTCTCAAAAAGTGAAATGCCGGCTGAGCTGAAACTTCTACAAGTTAGGTTTTGAACAGTCTTCTTTGGATTTTGAGTGGTGTAATTATTGGAAACGAACGAAATGCATGAAAACTTCAAAATGTGCCTCAAACTTAGTACTTTTTTTACTTACCATTGGCAAATACGTGAATGACAGAGAAATTTCAAAATTTACTGCAAGACATAGGACCTCAGATCTGTATAGTTTCATCATGTGGTACCTTTGCTGGAAATGAATACCCTAAGAACTTAGAACTTCGTACTTTAAAGGATTTTAACATACCGGTGCATGTACTTTTTAAAACAGACAATTTTACCATCATTGCACTAATGATAGCAATGAATACCAGTTCCTTCAAAGAACCTTTGCACAAAACTTAAGACTTTAGCACCTAGACATTTTGGCCTTCAAGACGAAGTGAATGCCCTCAAAGGACCTCACTCCAAAATATTCTTGGAGGTGCTAAATTGAGTCGCAAGGTTAGCGCAGGAAACAGCCAATCGGAAAGCGCCCGGCGTGTGAGGTAACGCTCTCTCACAACAGCCCAGACTGCGACGAGTCAGGGTACCTGCCAATTATCACAGGTGCGTTGATGCAGCCAAATCAGCCGAAATGGTCAGGCGGCCCTGCCTCGTGGCCTCGGGTCCCGGAAAAAATATGGGCTCCGGGAGACGAAAGCTGATTGAATCACTCAGAAGTGACGTTCTTCTCACCTGCTATATTAAAATGAAAGTGAAACGCCAATGATATTTTAATTTGATCAATGTGTGTGTGTGTAATTGTCTTGTGACCCCTTTTTGTTTTGAGAATCACAAGTTTTGTTAAGCTAGCTATTGCACAATGGCAAGTTGTCTGTCCTCTTCAGGGGCAGGTCAGGAATCCGACAGGAGGGGGATGATCCCCCTCCCCCCAAAAAAGCATTAAAGAGCTCAATGTTGTAGTCCAGTCAATCACAAGTTTGGTCAAAAGTTAATCAAAATTCCTTTCTCAAGTCCTTTAAAAGCATGTAGCATCATTTGCATTTATGCCAAAAGTAACCTGCCAAAAAAAATTATCAAAAAGCTTACTCGGATTAAACGCCCCCACCAAAATATTCCGTCCGGCTAGCTGTCATTTAAAAGAAATGTAGGTGATTCCAACGATTTTATTAAATGGACAAAATCAAGTTTCGTGATTTTTCACTTTTTTTCTTGAAAGGTGTAATATCCACTGAGGTGGAACCTTCATCTTGTTAGGTTTTGAACATTCTTCTTTGGATTTTGAGTGGTGTTATTATCGGAAATGAACAAAATGCATGAAAAGCAAATGATCCTATGTATGTCTTCATGTGTACAGCACAGAAAAGTTATCATGCTTTCATACATAAACACTCACACATTCATAGAGTGCGTGCACTTGTCTGTGTACAATATGGCAGACAGTAATTTCTGTGAAATTAGTCTGGTTTCCGGGGTGGGGGTAGGCTTAAAATGAATAGTTGTGTTTAGTGATCTCAGACCAGATTGGCCTCTTCCTGTGCTTTGATTCTCATCTCTCGATACGCCCGGTCATGTGATCGACGGCCTGAAACGAAGGAACAAAGCCTTTTCCTGATGTTAAAAATTCTCTACTCGGATGTGGTCCTAGACCCCCAACAAAATATATAAGTGGCTTGGGGGGGGGGGGTTGACAAAAAAGAACTTACCTGGTCCCAATTTCATGGAGTTGGTAAGCAGAAAATATCTGCTTAGCAGATATATTTGCTTAGCCAAAATCAGCTGGGAACCAGCTACAAGCTGTAGACATCCCTGGACTAAACTGGTGACCCATTTTCGCTAAGCGATTTTATTCTGTGCTTAAACAGAATATTTACTGTGCTTAGTCAAGTTCATCACAATTCCTGTTGCAACAAAAACCGTCCGCCCCACCCAGCTCCCATAAGAAAGCACACGTGTAAAAAAAAGTGTAACGTCATCAGTACAGCGACTTATTGGGACTGGCCGACTTGCGATTTACTTGTGATTGTCTTGTACCGGTACATGTAAATCACGATCACAAGGCATTTCATAACTCTGGTCAACTGAGGGCCCAATTTCACGGCGCTGCTAAGCACAAAAATTTGCTTAGCACAAGAAAGTCTGGCTTATAAAAGCAGGTTTCCAGCCAAACCTCCATGTGAGTTTCATGCTAAGCAAACAACAGCCAAATACTAATCACGAGCAATATACATCACATAGAGTTTTGGCTGGTAACCTGCTTTTATAAGCCAGACTTTTTTTGTGCTAAGTAATTTTTGTGCTTAGCAGCGCCGTGTAATTGGCCCCAGGTCACAAGTGAACAATAACAAAGTAATGAACAATAACAAAGGATGAACAATAACAAAGGAATGCTTTTGTCACTACTTAAATTTAATATCGTGTGAGACTTGGCAGGGGATGGCATATGATTGACTTTGCTGGACCCAACTACAACACTAGTCTGAGGTATTTAAGGCAGGATACAAAATACCCAAAGCTTTCTGCCCCCCCCCCCCCCCCCCCCACCCAAAACTGATCAAGAATAATTACATACCCGGCCAAAACCCCTTGACATTTTGACAGTTTGACATTTTGACGTTCCGAGAGCGAATTTTTCTTGATTTGTCTAATAAGCTGAGAATTTCTGTCCAATCTGTTCCAGGCCTAAAATAAAAAACAGGAAACCATTTGCCGAGATTGGGGGGGGGGGGTGCAGATAGGGTGCATGTAGCAAAGCAATACTTAAGTCTGGACTCTTTTAGGTTGAACGAAAGGGACAAATTTGGTCCGAACTCGTTATGTCAAGTACACATTAACGACAATCAATCTTTATATTGTTGGAAGTGCAGAATTATATGTACATTAGTTAGAAGCACCCGCAGCAGGGTACTAGTCAAAAGTTGCAGTTGGTTCTAGTTTTTTTGGACGCCCAAGTTTACTAAGGTGCTCAGCTGAAAATATTGCTCAGGAAATTATTTTTTGTATACAATGGATGGATGTCCCATCACAAACCTGTCACAAAAATAAAGCTGGAGACCTGTTTCTGCCAAGCCCCTCCCCGATCCACCACTGCATGGGCTCCGTGCACAAGTACCCCCTCAACGGTAAGAAAAGGAGAGTTGGGGGAGACCACTGGTAAGGACATTCAACGTATTGCCAACTGGTATGCCTGACACTTATGCAAAGACACTATGGATTCGTCCACATTCAGGATAAAACAAGTCGCGCGTACTTCGCACTAAATGCGGTTCCCAGTACGTGCATGCAGTGTGTCCCATCTACACTGGGCTGTCGAAAGTAGTAAAAAGCGCCCTCTCGGGTTCGCGCAAGGAGCCCATAGCATCTACATATATCGGTAGGTTTAAACGATCCGAACTAATCGGATTTTTTTTCATTTTTTTCCTCCTTTTTCTAGGTTTCACGGAGCGATAGCCCGTGAGGAGGCCGACCATTTGCTGACGCAGGGCGGAGAGGGGAGTTACCTGGTCCGGGAGAGCCAACGAGCTCCCGGAAGCTTCACCCTTGGACTCAGGTGACCTTTGACCTCAAGATTATCTCTTCTCCCAGAGGTTTTTGAAATCTTGGTTTTGTCTCGGGCCTTGGCTTCAGGAGACTATTGGCCCTCGACTTTCACTCGGTGGGCTGTGGCTCAACCGAGGGCCCTGCTCTATTTCAGGAACATCAGATCTTAGAATAAAAGGCTAAGGTTTAGAATTTTTCCTTTTGGTTTGGGCAGAAAGGGTTTCTTAATGATTCGGAAGCCAGCGTTGGAGATGAACCCTAGATTTCGAAAACCCAAGACTTGACTAACCTGTAGCAGAAACATCACATTTCTGAGGCTAACGTTTACCATCTTCTATTTCCAAAAGAGAAAATTGTTTGGTTTCCTTCCATCTTTGCAATTTTTTATACATAGACCAGGTCCCAATTTCGTTGAATTGCAAATGCCAAAAAAATAATAGTGTGTTTAGGCCAAACTAAAAAAAGTCTCCGGTTTCTGGTATGGAGCTTGTCCAAAAAGTGGTGCGGCGACGCGTTTTTTTTTTTTTTTACCCGACTTTTTTGCTTCAAATGTCGGCTGATGACTGCAAATATTGCCCGACTAAACTTAGTGCAAATATATGGGAGTCCAGAGAGGCCACATAAAGCTTATTCTCGATCATAACCCCATCTAAAAACACGTTGAAATTGCGCAGCAGCAGGATTCCAGTCAAACCAGTGAGTTTGGCGGTTTTGAGACATCATCTTTCATTGAAAAAAAACCTTTTTTATTTTGTCGACGCGCATGGCTACGGCGACGCGCGCGCATACCAGAAACCGGAGACTTTTTTTTTTTGGCCTTATACAGTAACACCTGAATTTTTTTGCTGACATTAAACTTTGCTTTGCAACATTTGGCCAAAATTTAAAATATAGGTGACGTAAAAATATAAAAGTCTTCCCTATGCAAGGTTTTTTTTGTGGGTTATTTGTCAATTAAACAATCAACAGGTCAATTAAACTGAAAAGCATTAAAGGTAATCTAAACTAAACAAATTAAGTATATAAGACCGACAGATAAATATAAAAAAGTTACAGAAATAAAATTATTTTATCCCCACCTACCTGAATGATTTTTAGGGCGTTAGAGTAAACACAATTTTTTTTCGGCTTAACGAAAAATACATGTACCGGTAGGTTAGTGTCCTGAGATTAGAAATTGCGCTGTTTTTCTCTCGGTACATTTGTGGAGACAAGACATTGGTACTGGTCAGTGATATTTAAAGCGTAGCCAGTGATTTTGCACTTTTCACAGCCAATTCCAACCCTTTCTTTAAAATAAAACGTACCGGTAGAACGCAGTCATCGAAAATCAGGAACCAAGGCCATTTTCCCTGTTTTACGCCCGGGGGGAATTTTTAGTTAGTGCCCAGAATAGGCAGGAAGTTTTTCACCAATTTGGAGATCTGGACGCTCGCTGACCATTAATCTCGGACTATAACGAACAAGCTCGTCAGTCAGAATTTGCGGCGGCGTATTAATTTGGTTTTTTAATGGCGTCCATCCTGGCGGAGGGAATGTGGCATGTTGAGACGTGGAAGGTTTTAAGTGACTGTGATGGTAATCGAGGGCGGGGTGGGGGAGGTGTTAAGTAAGGAGAGGACGGTGTTACGTCATCCATGAATGTTTTAGACGTACCGGTACATGTACTGCAGTGATGGAATTTATGAAAGATAACTGTACTGCACTTTTTTGCCGTTTAACCCAAACCTTCTCAAGTCCTCCAAAATCTTCTTTGCAAAATGGAGGATTTTGCAGGATTGAGGCTATAAGGCAAAAGTGTGTGGCTGATTTTGGAGGATGCACTGCGTCAAGGTCTTAGGCCAGACCTTGTGTTGTTTATGCACAGCCGTGTGTAAATTTAAGCCTGTATTTTATACTTGAAATCATCCGCGCTGCTCCAGGATGTCACTGGCTCTGCCTCAACATATTGAATTGAGGCAGTGGTCACCCCTCAAAAGGTGCCTCCGACAAAAAAGTTATATTCGACAAAAAAGTGGCACCTATTACAACAAAGTGCCGCAACTTTACGATATAATAACATCACAGTTGGGTGTGTATGCATGTGCATATTTTTTTCTTTGAATATTCAAACCAGCAAAAAACTTTTCGAATATTCAAATGATGATCGAATGTTTGACTATTCGGTATATTGGGGACAGCCCTAGATTTCATAGATCCGCTTAGCAAATGTTTATGCTAAGCATGATTGGGCAGGGAACCAGTCACAATCCATATATGTTGCATGACATTTTGGCTGGTGACCTGTTTCTGCTTAGCAAGTAATGTCTCTGCTTAGCAAAACATTTTTCAAATATATTCAAATGATGATCGAATGTTTGACTATTAGGTATACTCGGGACAGCCCTAGATTTCATAGATCCGCTTAGCAAATGTTTATGCTAAGCATGATTGGGCTGGGGAACCAGTCACAATCCATATGTATTGCATGGCATTTTGGCTGGTGACCTGTTTCTGCTTAGCAAGTAATGTCTCTGCTTAGCAGATTTTTGTGCTTAGCTGCTCCACAAAATTGACCCAAGCTAATAAAAAAATACACCAAATCGTTACCTTTTTAAAAACTCTTATGTTGTAATGCTAAAAATAAAATATTTGTTCAAAAGTTGAAAAGCTTCCTTTGGGTACGTATGGAATGCCACATTTTGTAGTAACCAAATCTTAAAGTACTGGTACATGTACATGGTGTGCTCATTTTTGATAAAAACGGAAAGCGACACTGTAAACACGTTTTACAGATCAATGCACAAAACCATAACTTGCCATTAACCTCTCCGTAATTATTCAGAGCAGGAAATGTTTACAAATAACGACAACGGGATGTACCCTCGTATATTAGAAAATTGCTATCTTATCCAACTGTGTTATCAGTATATATTTTCCTGTTTTGGTGGATATATGGTATATCCCTACTCAATTGCCATTGAAGACGAATTACAACCATTGATAAAAATAGTTTTTTTTATCTATTAGACCCTAATTGTTTTACTTTTCCTATAGATTAACCCTCCTTTTGTTTGATCAACCAGGGACAGTCAAAAAGTCAGTCCTGTTGCCCTTTGCCATGCCTTTTACACAGGCTAGTCACCAACAGTCTGATCATATTTTTTGTAGGCACAGTGACTAGTCAAATTCCATCAACAGCTGGCCTACCGTACATGTATCAATCTCCTACAGTCAAAGCATAGCTATATCAGGTTTCATAACAATCACAGCCAGTCAATCCTGCTTTATGAAGGCAGGGAGCACTCAACTGTTTAAAACAGTCACTTGATTTATTTTTACTGCTGGGCTGGCCTCGTTGAGATTGCCAGCAAGAGAGGGAGGGTTAATTGCGCAAGATTTAAAAAAAAAAAGGCTTATTCCTCGAAAGTACACGCATGTTGTTGCTGTGGTGACTTCCGACTTAATATTGTTGGGTTGGGTCACAGTTACTTATAGGTGTCAGAAAAATTAAAGTATTCTTTGTAATGTTTTCCCATTCGTCATCGGAGTTGACCGTTAACTTCACGCCGGAGCATCCGCTGAGGAAGTGCTCGTTTGGACAGTGGGATTTACCCCTCAATAACATTGGCTCCGTAGATAAATCTGACCGGCGGTGGTCAGCCGCCTGCTATTTGATATGAAAATATGGGGCATCCTGCCTTAAAGCTGGCCTAACCCTCCCCTCGAAAAGGAAAAAGAAAAGTAGCTTGGATTTTGCTATAATCCTTGTTGATACCACATCGGCATTAGGAAGTCAAAATATTATGCGGGTGTTTCGTATCATGTTCAAGGCAGGCCGGAAAGTCAAAGATTTCGGGCCGGGATTACTTGAAGAAGCTTTCAGCTCTTGTCTAATTGGGCAGTCACGTCATGCCCTAGGTAATTTAAACCCCTTTCAGACTGGCACATCCAAAGTCATAGAGAAAAGAATTATTCTTAAGATTATTCTTTAAAACTCGGTTTGAATCCCACTCAATATTTGGTTTGGATTTAGGAACACCTATATTGGAAACCATCCTTTAAAAAATTGAGCCTGCCATTTTTGAGACACAAGCTAAGGCCAAAAAAAAAAAGTCTCCGGTTTCTGGTATGCGCGCGCGTCGCCGTAGCCATGCGCGTCGGCAAAATGAAAAAGTTTTTTTTTCAATGAAAGATGATGTCTCAAAACCGCCAAACTCACTGGTTTGACTGGAATTCTGCTGCTTCGCAATTTCAACGTGTTTTTAGATGGGGTTATGATCGAGAATAAGCTTTATGTGGCCTCTCTGGACTCCCATATATTTGCACTAAGTTTAGTCGGGCACCATTTGCAGTCATCAGCCGACATTTGAAGCAAATTTGAAGCAAAAAAGTCGGGTAAAAAAAAAAAAAAGCCGCGTCGCCGCACCACTTTTTGGACAAGCTCCATACCAGAAACCGGAGACTTTTTTTTTTGGCCTAAAGAAAACATCTGGAACATCATCCAATTTGCTTCATGGGCTCTTTTTTTTTTCTTTCTTGCTTGCAGGCTGAACCACTCGACGAAGAACTTTCGGCTGTACTACGATGGCAAGCACTACGTGGCCGAGAAGCACTTTGACTCCTTGCACGACCTTGTGGCCGACGGCCTCATCACGCTCTACGTGGAGGCGAAAGCCGCTGACTACATCAAATCCATGGAGTCGGAACCGATCTACGAGAAGCACTCACGGTACGCGACAATCAGGGACAAGCGGATCAGTAACGGGGCCGTGTTGCCGACGTCAGGCAGCAAACAGGTACCCATCCAGGATCAGGTGAGGAAAGTTCCATTGGATGAAGTCTAGGTCCAAGACCTGGTTGGGATAAATGTTCCCTAAATCAGCTATTCCAAGACCTCCACAAGTCCTCATTAGTCTACACAAGACCTCACAAGTCCACACAAAACCTCAGAAGTCAACGCAAGACCTCACAATTCCTCACAAAACCAAACAAGTCCTCACAAAACTGCATAAGTCTTCACAAGTCCACACAAGACCTCACAAGACATCACAAGACATCACAAGGCCTCACAAGACCTCATAAGATCTCTCAAGACCTCACAAGACCTCACAAATCCACACAAGGCCTCATAAGTCCTCACAACTCCTTACAAGTCCTCACAAGTCTACACAAGTCCACACAAGTCATCACAAGTCCTCACAAGTCCTCAAAGGTCCACACAAGGCCTCATAAGTCCTCACAAGTCCTCACAAGACCTCACAAGACCTCACAAGACCTCACAAGTGGTTTGAACCTGCAACCTCCAGATTGCCATTCTGGACAAAATGGGGAACACCAACACAGGGCTGGATAGCTCAGTTGGTAGAGCACCGAAACAGCAAACCGGAGGTTGCAGGTTCAAACCCCACTCCAGTCAATTTCCTTGTTCAGCCTTAAAATACTTATGCTGCACCTAGTCAGTTTCCCTGTGAGGTTTCAAAAACCTGTCAAACTTTGATCAAACTGATTGACAGTCCCGTAAAGTTCACGTTTGCTTTGAACAAGAAAAGACCAGTAAGCATTTTCTAAGATATCACACCCCCTTCCCCACTCCTTCCAAAAAAAAAAAATTATTCAGAAAAATATTGGCTTTTAAACTAATTAATCTGAAGGTTACCCTACCTGGCTTATCAATTAGGCCTCAAAAATTGATGACACATACCCGCCTGGCCTTAACAGGTGTCTGATCTCGTTAAGGGCAAGCCACGGACACCTGTGAAAGGGTGTCAAGAGTTGAGCGCTCTACAAGCGCTAAGTGCTTAGCGCGGATGATGGGGTTACCATCTTGCGGGGAGATATAAAGGGATCCTTTTTCCCAGCTGTGTTGTCAAATCGGAGTCGGTATTACCAGCTTAATTGATCCCGACAGGATGACCAGCTGCGCGGGGATCGATTAAGGAAGTTTAGAAGGATTTTTAGAAGAGATTTTGGTAAGCAGGAATTAAGCTGGGAACCGGCTACTTCAGCAGCTGAATACAAGCTTTGGCTGGAAACCGGTGATTGGCGCCAAGGCAAAGGCCGTTTTCATATGCTGTTCTCATTCAGCACAAATTGTGCTTACTACTGAAATATTTGCTTAGCAGAAAACAGGTCACCGGCTAAAATATCATATGATGTATTCTGCTATTGAATGATTCCCGGCTGGTTACTGCTAAGCATAATGCATTTTCTAAGCAATAATTTCAATAAATGGAATTAAGTATATTGGATTTTTTTCATTTGCCCTTGTAGGTGGATGCACGTACCGCTGTGCTGGACAATGCAGTCACGTCGGCATCGTACGAGAAGGCACACAACTTCAAGGTACAAAACCTGGAAACCGATATCATTATTATTTGTTTCTGGTAACTAAACTATTAGGAAAAGAAAAATAGCTTGTAGGACTTTCGTTGGTTAACCTGAGAAAAGCATGACATGTTTAAGTTTGGAGTTGGGAGAAAAACTGTCGCTAAAAATATTGTTTGGGAGTACTTCAGAAACAGATAGGATTGGAAAAAAAAACAGTACTTTTTTTTACAAAAACAGTAAAAAATACTTTGGCCGTGTCGGAATTACTTGGACTTTAACCAACAGTCACACATGTCTATGGGAAGTGCATTCATCCATTTCCAAAGGCACATGTGCTATTACCAGTTAGGGGCAAGTAATTTAGACAGGTCTTGGAGTCGAGGAGTGTGGCTTAGTGGTTAGGATTTTTGACTCGTGATCAGAGGGTCAGGGGTTTGAATCCTGCTGCTGGTCATGTGTTATGTCCTTGGGCAGGCCACTTCATCCCCACTTGGTTCTCTCTACCCAGGGGTACTGGCATTAGCTGGGGAGTAAACTGCAATGGACCGGCGTCCCATCTAGGGAGAACAAAAATATTCTCAGTCGTTTCATGCCAAGGAAACCGGAGATAAACGCTGGCGGCCAGATAACACTGGCCTGATGGGCCATATTGGCTCGTGACAGACTTTACTTAGATGGGCTTAATTATTTCTACTAAGTCTTTAAAACTTCGCTTCTCAAATGGATCATACTGCAAATATCCGCCATCTGAATTAAAAACACATTCAAAATAGTACAAAGTTTAGCTCAAGTAGCATTTTTTCCTAAGTATTCTTGAAAACTGGCACTCTTTGAATTACAATAAGGACAAATTTTGTAGACATTCATAACATTGTTTTGAAGTTTCTGTAATTTGAATATCGATTTGTTGCTGCTTTTGGCTATGTGTAGAATTTTGTAGTTGTTCTTACAACTGGTGTTTCTTGGCCATTCCCAGATGCACACTTTCAAGGGTCTGAACTGGTGCGAGTACTGTGGCAACTTCATGTGGGGTCTCATAGCACAGGGAGTCCGATGCACAGGTAAGGAGCTGTCATCCATTGGCTTCGTGCGTGCACATAGAGGGCGCTATTCAACCAAATCGCAAGAGTCAACTTGGGGCACAATCATTCTTGCTGGTCTTGAGGGGGGCTGCCGCCTCTTTACACCTGTCGCACCGACTGACTCACCGACTGACTGTTACTTGTGAATTAGACTTGCACTAGACTCGCGTTGGCCCAAACATTTGACTCGGATGACTACCTAGAACCTGTTGACTCACTGACTGTAGTGCAAGTCTAATTCACAAGTAACAGTCAGCAGGGTGACCGTTTTAGCCGATTTTCGGCTAACTTTGACAGATTTTTTGTTTAAAAAAAACGAGTTTGACAGAAAATTTGACAGATTGGACTTTTTTGGCAGATTTGTGGCAGAATTCTGCAAAAATGAATATTTGACAGAATCACATAGCAAATTTGAAAAAAATTGTACATTTGTTTAGAAATGCTTTAATCTTTTCAACAAACCCTTGCATAATGGGACAGGTTGGCTAGTCTAGGTGCTGAGGTTTCTCTGGGAAACGGGCTTCGTCGTGGCCGGATCCGCGTTTTGCCCGAAATTTACGCGATAATTTCACAACATCCTTATGTGACTATAGATTGTGTGTGTAATTTGAACTTTAATTAAGGCAATACTACCAATCTTCATGCGATTTTAAGTGTTTATAGTGTATTTCTAGTAATTCTGGGGAATTTGGCAGATTTTTGATAAATCTGACAGATTTTTGAAGCGCATTTAGCAGAATGTTGCCATGACCTTACAGTCACCCTGTCTCCAAGACTGATTATGTAAAGCGCCTTCCAAAAAAAAAGTTTGAAATCAATTCTAATGATACCTGATACATGCATGGCAAATTACACAGATCAGGTTGACGAAGACACACAAAAATGTCACACTTTTGGACCCCATATTTATGGACTGATCCATGTCCTACTGAAGACCCATGTCCTACTGAAGACCATACATGTATGTCAATAAACACACAGATAAAAAATTAAATTGAAACCACTTGCTTACTCTATGCTTGATTATAAACAGTCTTGAAAGTTGCATGGTTCATATTAAGGTCAGGGGAAATAGGTGTTTTAGATTAGCCTATGTTACACATGGGAACCTTTTTGTTACTTGAAAATGTGGAAAAAAAGTTTGTCAACCCCTAAAATGGGTGGTGCTACCTGTTGGGGCCGCATTGGTTTTTTGCCTGCCAAAAGTTCCCATGGGACACTAGGGCTAACTTATGATTTTTTTTTTTTTTTTTTTTTTTTTTTTTATGTTTTTTTTTTTTTTTTTTTTTACAAAAACGACCCAACACAAAGAACAACATTGGCATTGGACGCAGGAAGGGCACTAGGGCGACGTTTCCGAACTGCCAGCTAAAAATACCGCACAATACTGGCTTATCTGGCCTGCGCATGCATTTCTGAGGTTGAGGGCCCGACAGCTTTACGTTATGCGCTGACTCGCGCGGCAGGATTGACGCTAGAGCACATGTTTCATTCGGTCAGTTAAAAAACCAAAGCTTCAAATGTTCACCACATTGTCAGGTTTGATCCCAGAAGGCGAAATTAAACTAACAAGGAAGTTACAATTTTTATTAAGTCAATGTGTCAGAAAGATAATTTTGATTTCATACATTTTCAGTAACCTGTGTTCATAATCTTTGGCTGGTGACGTTTCCTCCAAAACAAAGGTCAAATTGATGTCAGTTAAATCCCAATGAGGAAGGAAATTTAATATTTGAAGCAATAAGCGTTAGTGCAAAATGCATTATATTGGTGTTGGGCAAAGCCCAATGATGTAAAAATGTACATAATTGTGTAGGCAGACTGTGTGCTGACCGTTGTGTGGGCCGTTGTGCAATTTACGCTCGAGCGCACACATTTGAAATATATGAGGTTTCAGCAAGAAATATTAGACAAATACTGTTGAAATGACTCTTGCGAATCAGTATTTGTGGCGTTTGGCTGTACATCAGAAGTTGGCTGGGAAATTTTGCCTTTTTGTGAAAATTGAAATTTTCGCAAAAACCAACCCGACGTGAAGTGGTTAAAGGCAAACCTAATTGAAAATTTACATCAACCTAAGACAGCCCCTAAAAATAGAAATAAGAAATGTTCATCAAATATCAAACCTCATTTTTTTTTCCATTCATTTCCCTAAACACTCAGTTCCAAAAATCGCCATTGCCTAGTGCATATTGTGCCTGCAAAAATAAATCAAAAAAAAAAAAAAAAAAATTCAGCAAACAAACACGCAAAACAAATGAATGAAATAGATTTTTAAGACGTCTGTTACATGGCATTTGTTAATTAATTTTCCGGAGTCTAAGCCCCTTAATAATGTCTGCGCCTCCCAGATGCGCCGCCCATCGCGCAGAAGTCACGAAAGAGGAATTAAGTCTTTTTCCCGATTATCTTATCTTCAGTTCTGCACATCCCCTTCCGCTTAAACGCAAAAAAAAAAAATTTAAAACTCAGAAAAATAAACCCATTGCCGTTATTTGCTCTGTAAAAGCCATTTCCTGCCTTGTTTTACTCATTCTAATTGACGTCTCCTAAAGGGATTACGTCGATGACTGTTTGGGAAGTCCTGTGGAAGAAACATTTACACTTGTGCGTGTTTGTGTTTTGGTTTTTTGTTTTTTAATTTTCAAGTTCAAAAGGATGGCAAACTGTATATTCGTTGGCTTGATGTACATCTTGCCATGCTTAGTGCCCTATTTTTTTGTAATACAAGGTATGTGACTTGCTACCACGAATAAGCCATTTGGGAGTGACCAATACCCTTTTGGAAGTAAATTTTGGCACATTTTTAACTTTAAATTCTCCAGACCAAAGACACTGTTACTATATCACATGATTCGGGGCAAGCTCTTGCATAGTTACGTAAGAGACGCTCAGCACCAATACATTGTTCACAATGGGTGAGAATGGCGCAAAGACACCAGACCATTCCGGAGCTGCGGGTTGCTGCCACAGTCTCTTAGGTCTGGAGAATTCAAAGTTAAAATGTGCCAAGCACTTGAGCAAGTCAGCGTACCAGATGCTATTCAAATTCCACTCGCAAATGGCTTATTGAATCTAAAGTTGCAAATTGTCATTTGTAGCAATATTTTGAATGTTGTTTTTTAAACCATGGCCAGGCTAAGAGCAGTGTTGTAAGAGTTCATCACAAGTCCAATCACAAGTCTTATTATGAATAATAACAAAAGACACAGTTCATCTGAATAGTTTTCGACTTGACTTAGTACTTGTGAGGACTAATGTGGACTTGTTTGGACTTGTGAGGTCTTGTTTGGACTTGTGAGGTCCTGTGAGGACCTGTGAGGTCTTGTTAGGTCTTGTGAGGACTTTTGACAACTTTTGAGGACTAGTAAGGACTTGGGAGGTCTTGTGAAGACTTTTGAGGTCTTGTGCGGTCTGGTGAGGACATATGAGGTTTTGTAGGGACTTGTGAGGACTTTTGAGGACTTGTGAGGATTTGTAAGGAATTGCAAGTCTGGTGAGGGCTTTCAAGGATAGGTGAGGACTGGTAAGGACTTGGTCGGTCTGTTGAAAACCTGTGAGGTCTTGTGAGGTCTTTTGTGGACTTGGGAGGTCTTTTGAGGACTTACGAGGTCTGGTGAGGACTTGTAATAGACTCGATTCATCACTGTAAGAGTTGCTAGATGAACAACTTGAACAAAAAGTTTGTAAATAAATAGCTGTTCTAACCAGTCCCGTCATCTTTCTTTTTACAGATTGCGGCCTAAGCACCCACAAGCAGTGCTCCAAGAGGGTACCCCTAGACTGCACCCCGGACCGCCGCCTCATCAAACGTGTCTACGGCGTGGACCTGACAACCCTCGTCAAGGCACACGGCACAACGCGGTCAATAGTCATCGACAAATGTATAGAGGAGCTGGAAACCAGAGGTGAGAATTGCGGTCCAACCCTGTGACAGGACCATAGTGTTTGTGTTCTTGGGCAAGACACCTTACTACAATTTGCCGCGGTTCAGTGATTACAATATCCAATTCATATGTGATGGTACATGGTCCTAACCTTGGCAGGACAATAGTGCTTGTGTTCTTGGGCAAGACATTTTACTACAATTTGCCTCGTGAACTGCCGTGGTCCAGCGGTTACAATATCCAACTCATATACGATGGTACATTGTCCTAACCTTGGCAGGACAATAGTGCTTGTGTTCTTTAGCAAGACACTTTACTACAATTGCCTCATGAACTGCCATGGTCCAGTTGGTTACAATATCCAACTCATATACGATGGTACATGGTCCTAACCCTGGCAGGACAATAGTGCTTGTGTTCTTGGGCAAGACATTTTACTACAATTTGCCTTGTGAACTGCCGTGGTCCAGCGGTTACAATATCCAACTCGTGTGCGATGGTACTGGGTTCAAACCCTTACAGGACCATAGTACTTGTGTTCTTGGGCAAGACACTTTACTACAATTGCCTCATGAACTGCCGTGGTCCAGTGGTAACAATATCCAAGCGTGTGCGATGGTACTGGGTTCAAACCCTTACAGGACCATGGTGTTTGTGTTCTTGGGCAAGACACTTTACTACAATTTGCCTTGTGAACTGCCGTGGTCCAGTGGTCACAGTATCTACCGTAACTCATGTGCGATGGTACTGGGTTCAAACCCTTACAGGACCATGGTGTTTGTGTTCTTGGGCAAGACACTTTACTACAACTGCCTTGAGAACTGCCGTGGTCCAATGAATACGATATCCAACTCATGTGCGATAATGCGTGGGTTCTAAACCCAGACAGGACAAAAGGGTGTGTGTTCTTGGGCAAGACACTTTACTAAAATTGCCTTACGAATTGTCATTTTTACAAGTTATAGTATGGCGCCTTTCTGATTTCAGGTTTGGATATTGAGGGCTTGTACAGGGTACCAGGTATGCAGGATGACATGGATCTCTGCAGACAGCGGTTTGATAAAGGTGAGAAAAATCATCCTTTTTCACAGAAAAAAAATTAACCGCAAATCACACGTGTCTTTAAAGGTCAAAATCAACATTGACTTTTGTATCGTGAATCCCCTAAATCGCACAAATTTTGTGTGAGATGGTTCGAGACACGATAAAAGGGAGAACAGAAAGCACGGCGTGTTCTCTCAATTCTCCAGGGAGCCAGGGGGTCTTCCTGCCAGGAAGCCCAAAAATGTAATTCAAGCGCCACCTTGTCATTTTTTCTTATGCAACCGAGGCCCCTTAGGTGAACGGAAAAGGAGGGGTCAAGTCGCTTATTATTTCCGGCTCCGGACTAATTGGCTCCAGGCGAACCGAAACAACCTCTCGCTGAGTGAAAAAAAAAAGTTAGAGTTCAGGGAAAGGGGACAGTGTCTTTTTTAAGGGGGAAATTGTGGGCGGGGTGGTGGGGGGGGGGTCGTATTGTTGACCCACACCTGGTGCTGGTTAGCTGGTATCCCGCATGTCTGGTTACCGACTGCGTCAGATAGGACTTAACCTAGATACTGCCAGAAAACATCCGTTGTTTTATTCGTACGTGGGTTACCATTTTCACTTATCATGCCCATGTGTTTCTTCCCCCCTTGTGTAGTGTCTAGTTACCATTGATTAGGTCTTAGTCATTCTGTCATATGTTTTGTGTTACATGTTCTTTTGTTTCTGGATTGCGTTAGGTCTTAAGCTAGAGAACAATGCAAGTCTTTTTTGTCAGACTGAAAACATCTTCTTGTAATTTAGGCACATACGTGCCTTCCGTCCTTTTGTATTCACATGGTTTAAATTACTTGAAAGTTTGCACCGTAGAGAATCAATGAAAGGGAAGTTTTAGGAAAGTACCATTTGTGATTTTTTTTTTTACAGTCTTGCGGTTTTAAAATGAACATGTTAATTCAGATTCTGGAACAGTGTGTTCCATTTGCGTTCTAGAAAAGCAGACTACTGCTTTCCAAAACATTAGTAAAGCCATTTCTTTAAAAACACGCAACTTTGAAAGCAGAGAAACATGAACATGGATCTGCCTTACAGAAATACATTTCACTGAACAAATGGTTGTTGAAGTTATCGGCGGACGTTGTTTGTTGAGAGGATTTAATGAAAAAAAAAATTGTTTTCCATGAACACAGCTTTTACCCCCAAAAATGCTGGGGGAGACCAAAAAACTTCACTGAATGCTTGTGTTCCAAAATATAAGCCAGTTCAACTCCCCCCCCCCCCCCAAAAAAAAATATGAAAAGAACAGAAGCTTTTATAATTCTGTCTTTGAATCATTTTAAAAGAAAGTGTTCATAACTCAGGTTTAACAGTATTGAGTGCTTAAGGTGTGATTTTCATTTAAAAAAAAAAAACAGGAAGTCTTGTCGCTCGTCAACCGAACAGCTTGAGCTCAAAAATCTGTCGAGGAGTTAACCTTGTTGCTTTGACAGTACATTTCACTCAGTATTTGGGATTATTTGTGCAAACATCTTATCTTTTTAGTCAGCAGGGAATTTATTGAAGATTTTAAGTCCCATAAACTGAGCGCACTAACAGGTGTAACTTAAGGTCTCTGCCCCTCCCCCCCCCCCCCTCCCCCCGGGACAGACCCTCGAGGAAGGTTCTCATTAACCACCGGACTCCGTTTGAAGGAAGCCGTCCCTCAGGCGGATTATGAGAACCGGGGTTGGGTTTGACTTCGGAGGGGAAAGTGCATCAAGAGGAAATGAGGATCAGAAGGAGTAAAACTTGGTGATGTCATAGACACACCCTTGGACACCCCCCCCCACCCCCACCTCCTCCCCACCCCCTCTGTCACCCCCACTTCCTAATACCCATCCCCCAGGTCACTGTTACGTAACCATTGCCGGAGTCATAGCCAATGGCTTATACTTTTCATCCATTAGCATTAATTGATTGAAATCCAAACCGTTTGTCAGCGGAAATGCTAATGGGCATTTGGGATGGTAGGGAGTGGTTAGGTTGAAGGTTAAAAAAATCTGATTTGCGATGGAGAATTGAAGCGTCAGACCAGTTATCAAGGTTTTTGATTTCAGAAGGTTGTTTCAGTAACGGACATTGTTGTGGCATCTGTAGCACAAAATGTTTTTTTGGTTTCAGAAATTACAAATTTTGTTGAGGGCTGGCTCAAGGAAAAATTAACAGAAAATTTGTTAATGGTTAAGTCATATGGGAAAATGCCGATGAAAAGTCATTCGCATGGTTCATTTTGTCTTGAAAGTTGCTGGGCCATGGTGATAAAAAATTTCCGTATCTCTCTCCAGATGGTGCCAACGCAAAGATCAGTGCCAAGGACTTCCCGGACATCAATGTCATCTCGGGAGCGCTCAAGATGTACCTGAGGCAGCTTCCCATCCCGCTGGTCCCGTTCGAGATGTACGACCGCTTCATGATGGCAGCGAGTGAGTAAAAGCAAGAATTTGTTGTTTCCTCTTCGTGCCTCTCTAACTGACTGACTCTTGAGAACTGGGCAGTGCTGTCATATAGGATTACCCCATACAGGCGATGAGTGGGTTAAATCTGCCCGTTGCGTTGCCCAGATGCACGAAAGAATTTCAGTAGAATTTTGTGCACTCTGGGTCCTGCAGTCGGTTTCACGAAACAGTGCGCAACTTACAGCATGCCAAGGGCTTGCGCAACGAATTTGTTGCGCAGCTGCGCAGTAAACTTACGACCGATTTCACGAAACTTGGCGTAGCTGCGCAACATCTTTTAAATAATCCAAACATCGTGGACGAGGATAATATATCAGCAATTACGACAGCTGTTTGTGTATGATTTTGTTCGTTCACGAAAAAGTCGTTGCATCACCTCCGCCCTCCATTTTGAAATTTTTGTCCAACTTTCTTTGGAATCGTATGGCAGCTCTAAATATTCTTTCAAAAGTAGAATACCAATTCTTTTGCTTCATTCTCAAAGCTGTGAGTGTCTTGTATCAACTCTGATAAGCTATGCAATATAAAAGGCTCCACGACGATCACGATTTGCTGGTAAAAAGTTCATTTTCAGTCGCTATGCCACAACTTACGCTACCTAAAATGGTTGTGCAAGTTACGACATAAAATTTTTTCCACAAGTTGTGACTTAACGCACTATGAAACTTTCCTGACATTGTTATAACTGAAATATTGCGTAGCGTAAAATGTTGCGCAACTTACGCAATGAGTTGTGGTGCAGGTGGAGTTACGCTATTGCGTAAAGTTACGTGAGATCGTTTTTGGCTTTACTAGCCTAACTTTGTCTCGTTTTGATTTTCCCTGGTTGTGTGCAGAAATCCAGGATCCCACAGAGAGGTTAGAGGCGACGCACAACGCAATGAATGAACTGTACAACATCAAGCCGGCCCACTATCACACGCTCAAACATCTCATCAACCATCTCAACAGGTAAAGAGCGCCCTCTGTTGGTCAGGAACGAAGCAGATAGAGACTAATCTATTGAGCACAATAAGGCCAAAAAAAAAAACAAGTCGGTCTCTGGTCAGCGCGCGCGTCGATTTTAATCATGCGCGTCAATCTTTTTTTTTTTCAAAATGTTCTGCGGTAGCTCCAACAACAAAATTTTTTACCAAAGAGCACCAAGGAATGGGAAATTGCACCAAGGCAAATGATCGAGAGCACCAAGGCAAATATGGAGGACACCAATGTACATGAGGACACCAAGTAGCAAAATAGTACCCCACCTTGTCTGTACAATCCAAGCTTGAAAAAAAAAAAAAAAAGCCAAAAAAAAGCCAAAAAAAAGCCGCGTCCCCGCGTCAATTCCAGAACTTTGGTCTGACCAGAAACCGAATATTTTTTTTTTTTGGCCTAAGATGCCATTCTTGAGTTTGTCAGCAGTGCGTTCGAATGTCCCTACCAGTGGTCTCCCCAACTTTCCTTTTGTAACCGTAGAGGGGGTACTTGTACATGTAGTTCGTCATCACTTGAGGGCAGCATAACCTGTCTTGTTCACACACAGAATCATTAATTATCTTTAAAGATGAACAACAAAAAAATAGACTAGAATGGGGTTTGAACCTGCAACCTCCGGATTGCCATTCTGATGTTCTACCAACTGAGCTATCCAGCCTTATGTTGGCGGTCCCCCATTTTAGGGGCGCTAGTCAGAGTTTGTTGCTTCAGACTAAGCGCCCCAAACAAAGACATTGAGAAAAAGGGGGAACTGCCAACATAGGGCTGGATAGCTCAGTTGGTAGAGCACTGGAACGGCAATCCGGAGGTCGCAGGTTCAAACCCCGCTCCAGTCAATTTCTTCGTTCAACTTTAAATCTATTATAATGCACTTAGTCAGTTTACTAGATGTGATTTATTTGCCTAATCTGTAATTCTCAACTTTTTTTTCTGCGTTTTCCAGAGTGGTACAACAGAAGAACGTGAACAAGATGAGCGCGGAGAACGTCGGAATCGTCTTCGGCCCGACGCTTCTGCGCGAGGCCAACGACCAAACCATCATGGACAACCTCTACCTACTCCAGTACCAGAAGAAAGTCGTCGAGATCATGGTGGAAAACCCTGACATCATCTTCGAGAAGTGAGGGCGCCAGACACCCTGTCTAGTCTCGGAGAGAAAATAAGTGCAGGGCCAGTTCCCTGTTCAAAGACTGTAAGAAGGTTTCATAAGAAGCTATGTTGGAGAACATGAACATTTTGCTCCTTCGGAAGCCCCTCCCTATCTGTCAATCAAACTGCGCATTGACCAATTAGATTGCAGCTTTGAGTCATGTGACCATGGTGGGCGGGCTTGTGGCCGAAATCAGAACGGCCAATTTATATCCAGTTAAATCATTGTATGTTTTTGGCAGGAAATTTCATGGAGTTAATTTTAAGAAGAAAAAAAATCCAATATGGCTGCCGGTGAAAGCTCTCAATAGTAATTGTCCCTTTTTCACCAGTAGAGGGCGCACACGTCTGCTGAGCATGGACTTTTATTGTATCCATTGCATAGGTTAGCTTTAACCACTTTTTATACACACAGGACAGAAGACTGCAATTTATGGAAAGACAGCTATGAAAAAATGGGAATCAAAAACAGTATTATGTTGCCAAAGAACGTGCGCACTTCTCAGCGAATTGTGTCATCCAAAACCACAAAAACATCTCATTTCTTATAATCACCACTCACTTAAAGAGCACTGCATTTTTGGCAAAGGCAATGTGGCGGCCATTTTAAAAGTGGCTGCCACATTCTTGTAAAACCAAAATTGCGGCGTCCCATACACATAAATCTTCCCAGTTTTGTTTAGAGAACTACCGGCTAGCTACTTAAGCCCTTTTCCGAACTGTATATAATTATATATATAATTATCCAAATTTTATGTGTCGCTAGTATTAAACAAACAAAACTGTTGTAACTTAAAAACTTTCAGATTGGCAGAGATCCAATCTGTTTTTTATTTCCGTGATTGGAATATATGCGTGTGACGTTCTGGCAAAATAAGACGGAACTGGGCATAGGGTGTAGTGGAGAAAAATGCAAAAATCGGAATGGGGTGATTTTCTTCGATTTCCAGATTTATCAATGCTTGTAATCTTTGATATGTCTGCTGCACATATTTTAAAGAAATAGTATAAAAATCATGGAATAAAAGTGTTTTTAAGGAAAAAGCAATTGGCGTCTATCATTTTCAGGAATACAAAACTCGAAACGTTTAAGGCCTTTTTCGCAGTATTTTACCTTTTTGACATGTTGATAAAACTTTAAACATCCATAACTTGTCAACGGAATGTCTGATTGAAGTGCAACAAACAGTATTGTGAGGAGAATTTTGTTCTCTTTCCTAACACCTGCAAATTCTTATTTCCACCTCTGCCCAGTTCTGTCTCATTTCGCTAGAACGCCTCACATAATTACCTCTCAAACAAGATGGTGGATGTTTGAGATATTCTACCCACTGATCAGTAAACATTAACTCGTGATAGCTAGAAATAGAAAACTATTTCACTCTTTGAGGTATTTTAAAAATTAAGAACTTTATTTTTGTGTCTATTTATATGAAAGGATTTTTTTTTGTATGAAGAAAATCATACTTGTTTTATAAGTGATGTGTACTTAAATGCTTACACACGAACTGGCTGATAAGACTATCGAAAAAAAGATCAAAAGTTTGAGAAAATGTAGTCTTTTCTCTTATACAGCGCTTGAATGAATCCCTGTCATATGACTGATGGGTCGTTGATCACATGTCATTGAATTATTCCTTCTAACCCGGCCCGCACCGCAAAAATAGAAGTTCTATTCCACGGTAAATAGAAGCTCCATTGCAAGTCCCAGGATTGGTGGATCTGACCAATCAGATGACGAGGATTTATTCAGGTGTTGTATAAAACAAACAATGAATGTTTTTCATTCATGCAATGGAGACAATACTTTCATTCGGTGACAGCTGGAATGTTCCATTCCACTTGGCTTCGCCTCGTGAAATGGAACATTCCATCTGTGACCTCATGAAATTATTCTTACCATTGCACTCATAAACATTCATTTTTTGTATATTATTTTGTATGATGGATTTTCCATTGTGGATCTATGGAGAAAACCACATCCAATTTTTTAGTTAAGTGAAATATATTTCTATTGTTGTGGCTGATTCGGATTTGAGGTAGAGAATGTGGACACCGGAGGGCGCTCTTCACACAAACTGGCTTTGTGTGATGGATTGTTAAACACAGTTTCTTGTATGCTGACAGAAACTTGTTAACATTGTTCTATAAAATGAAATAGGAGAAATTGTAGTAATTTACATTTTTCTGTATATTTTTAATTTTTCCTAAATCCCGTTTAAAATTTGGCGATGGAATTTAAAAAGCCTCATTACGATTACTCAGGTTATCTTAAGGTTGAAATTCGTGTGTAATTTGCAAAAAAAAAATCGTAGTTATGAAGCTTTTAGGAAGAAAAATATTGCTTAGAGCGTTGCGTAGCAATGCATATATACTTTTTTGTGTCCATCCATAAATTGAGCAGAGATTTATCCCCTAGTGGGCTCCGTGCACGAACTGTGAGGGCGCTCTGCGACTTAATAAGAGCGTAAAGTTTTTAATTTGTACCACTATTGCACGAAGTCCATAGACAGAATTACTTATAATAATTCCCTGTTTGCAGTATTACCATTGTAGATTTTAACACTTTAAAAGCAATATCAGATTGTACTAGTCAACCACAGTTATATAATGAATGTTATTTCACATAATGAATGTCTCTGTTCAGAGATGCTGCCTTTTTTTTTGCAGTGTGACATCATGTTGTTTCCATGGCAGTGACCTGTCCTTCCTTAGTGATGACCTCTTAGTCTTCAGTCCAGTCTGATTTATTATTTTTTTATCATGACCTCTGCAAGGTGGACGAAAAATTTCAAGGACCATTTTGTAGTCGTCACCTGCGAGCTTATATTTAGTCATTCAAACATCCATCGAGCTAGAAACTGGTCTGAGTGGTCCATCTCTTTCCAACACTATGCTCGACAGGGACAGTTGGGCCCAACTCATCAAGTCATCATGAAAATGAATGAATGAAGAAGAAGAAGAAATAGTATTTTTAAACCTGCAATTGGTTGGGTTTTTTTAAATTACAGATTTTTGTTGAAACTCACAGTTTGTCAAATATTGTTCAAGAGTTTGGTTTACAGTAGTTTGGATACTTCCAATTGCCAAGCCCAATTTATTTCAGAAAAATTTATCAGAAGATTTCGTAATGCTGGAGTGCCATTTGTTTCTTCTTTTTTTGGGGGGGGGGATTCATCAGATTTATGCAAGTTACACCCACCGTCCACAAAAGAATAACCATTTGCTGTGTCCATATTGGTTTTTGCTGTTCATCGATGCTATTTTATAAGTACTGTGTACGCAGTGCCGACTGAGAACTTGTGAGACAAATATTCACCAGCTTGCTTGGGTGAGACTCGAACCCCCGACCTCCTTACAATGCAGGCATCTACCACTTGACCACCTAAAGATAGTCTCTCACGGGGAGAGTGTGGACCTGCGAGTTTGAAGCGAGTGGGTGCGAATGTCAGAAACTCGCCTCGTCGGAGAGGGAATACTCGCAACGCACTTGCGGGTACTCACAGCTGGCAGGGGATGCTCGCTGTTGCTCGCCGGGTTTTGACATGTTCAAAACTTAACGAGTTCTGCAAGTACTTGTAGGGTACTCGCAAGGAACTTGGAAGGTCGCTCGCTTGTTTGAGAGGACAACTGGCTCTCCGCAAGGCCAGCGAGTTCAGTTACAGCATCCGGAAGAAACATCTTGTAAACATCCCAGATAGCTTCTGGGGCGCGCCACTCGGTACAACTCACAAGCGCTACTCGCAGTCGCTCGCGTCTTGTGAGAGCAAACACTTGCAACGCTTGCAAATATTCCTACTCGCCCCCTCCCCCACCCCCTCCCCCACCCCTCCCCCACCCCCTCCCCCACCCCTTCCCCTCATCAACGAATACACTCGCTGGCACTCGCTACTACTCGCAGGTCCACACTCTCCCGGTCGGAGTCTTCCTTAACTTGCCAATTTTTTTTCTGCAAAATATACCAGTTAAGGACTTACAACCCACCTGCTTTCAAAACCCCTGAACGCCACTAAAATTAGTCCATGCTCATTGCCTCTTTTGTACTTTATAATCTGAAGACAAATGAGAATATTTGAGACGAAAAACTTGGCAAGTCTATTAGAGCTGGTCCCAGGTCAGTTTGGTCTAAGGAGTCAAGGTAGTCAACTGAGTTCAATTTTCGGGTCAAGCTGAGGCTAATACAAGTCTAATTCAAAGCGAGAGTAAAGTGCATCAGTGAGTTAGGAAACATATAAATAAAGTTTGACAGTATTTCAAAGTCCCTTTCATTGTAACACTAATTTTTAATTATTAATTAACCCAGGCGGTGACTTTGTACAGTTGTATTGATGTACATGTATATCTGAGTAATTAACGTGGTCGTGTGTTTAATCTTGTTCTGTACATTTTACTTGTCACGTCAGTGTTTTGTAAAAAGAAAAAAAAAACAAGTTAACGTTTCTTTAAAGTTAAATTGGTAAATTTTTATAACGCGGGCCGGATATTACTTAAACATAAACATAAGTAGTCTTCCCGAGAAACCGGAAACACGAAATTCATAGAAAAGATGTGAAAAGATACTTAAAGTGCAAGTTTCTACCATTTTTTTTCTTTTAAGGTGTTCACCAAGTCATTTTGTGCTTCTACGATTAAAGAGCAAGCGACAATACGAGATACTTACCCAATGGTATATTTTGCTGAAGTTTATTTTGCTGTCGTATAATTGTTTATTATTTTGTTGCGATCCGTTATTTCAATCCTATAATTTACATATTTTGTTCCTTTTGAAAGAGAATATTCTTTGAGTTTTGACCAGATCCTGACAAAATAAATTTGATACATTTCAAACTACATAATTTATGAAAAGTAGCTACATGTATAAGCAATTTTATTTATAGATTGACAAGAAGATATTTTGTTTGTTTCATTATGTATTTTGAATCGATAAAAGAAACCCTTTCGTTTACATTTTGTAAAATTTTGGGGTTTTTCCTCTCAACTTAAAAAAAAACTAGCATGGAAAAAAAGCTACATTTTTCACCAACTGTAGAAAGCATGATGAGTTTAATTTTGATTTTGTTTAGAAATTAAAAAAAAGCAAACACATGTAATTTAGTTGCACAATTTTTATCGTAACTCGAAATGTCTGTATGCTTCAACATCATGTCATATTGTGATTAAAACAACACAGAAATCAAATCGGAAAACTCTATGATTCTCTGTCTTGTCGTGTTTTTCTTTTTCGCCCCCCCCCCCCCCCTTGTCACGGCTCAATTGATCTGTGACAATTTGAATTGTCACCGAGTCTGAACAACGATTCGTAAAGAAAGCAATTGACTTTTGTCCCCCCAAAAAACAGTTGCTTTCTCTGAAAATTTAGAAACGAAAGTGAAACTTTTGAGGCAGGTTTCTCGTAGCAATGACGTGTATTTTGCATGTGAGAATAAATAAACACAACTCAATGGGTAGCAATTTCAAGGATGGCTAGGCAGGCCATGCATGCGTGTATTTACCGCGACCGGGAGATATAGTTTAAATATCAGCCCGTGATTATATTTTTGTATTATAATGAGCCTGAAAATATGTCGTTGACCTTTGCGGTTGATCATTAAGCTTCGTGTAGGTGCTGTCGCTGGCGGCGCCCTCTACCTCAGTAACGACAAGCTTTAATACAGGTAACTTTTTGTCTCGCACGTTTTTTTTTTCAATCTTCTTGATCGGTCGTCTGTTCTTGGAAAACACAATGTTTGTTGTGGTTACGGAGAAAAATGTTCCCCAAAACAAAACATTCATATTCGAAGCGACTCATAGCGGTGGCTGTGCGAGACTAACCTTCGTGGACAAAATGTAACTTCAAAGATTAAGAAAACTTATATCCCTTTTTTATGAATATAAATATGAAGAAGACGAAAGTGATGTCCAATTCCAACACAGGCATAACACAATTTAAAGTGGGGAATGAAACACTGGACACAGTAGATGAGTACATATATTTGGGACAGAAGATCACATTTAAGGTTGGGAATTCAGAGGAGATTCAGAGGAGAATACAACTTGCATGGGCAAAATTTGGCAAGTTGAGTTACATATTCAAGAACAGAAAAATACTGCAAAAGATGAAGCGTCAACTCTTCGACCAGTGCATCATCCCAGTTGTAGCATATGGCGCTGAGACTTGGGCACCTTCAAAGAAATCAGAGCAAAAATTGCGAGTCACTGTACGGGCAACGGAAAGGATAATGATTGGGGTCACAAAGAGAGACAGAATAAGGAACGAAGATCTTAGAAGAAAGACAGGGGTACAAGACATAATAGTTGAGATTAAAAAGAAAAAGTGGAGTTGGGCAGGACATGTCATGAGAAGAGACAACCACAGATGGACCCTGAAAGTAACGGATTGGACGCCATTATCATTGAAGAGGCGAAGAGGAAGACAGCCTAAGAGTAAGAGATGGCGAGATGAAATCTCTTATTTCATAGTGAAGAAATGGAAACAATTGGCAAGGGACCGAAAAGCATGGAAAGTTAGTGGAGAGGCCTTCATCCAGCAGTGGATTGAATTAGGCTAATGATGATGATGATGATGATATCCCTTTTTTTCAATCACAAAATATTCAAACCGTTTTCGGTGTAGAATTTGTATGTTCTCCCAAATACAGAAGGCAAGTCCTTACATGGGCACATGGGTGTGCATGCACCCATGGTCAAACAAGATAAGACAAACCGCAATTTTACGACATGCATGCGTTTTGCGGTGAGCGCACCAGCTTATTAGTTTACTCATTGCTCGCGCCAGCGCGTGCCAACAAGCCGACACAGATCTGTTTATTACAGCCAAGGAGCGCCATGTTATGCCGGTTACGTAACACGCACGCTCCGTAGACAAAAGCAGATCTCGCCCCATAAAATGAGAACAACAAAAGTCAATCTTTCGCCCACACACGCTCCTGAGTGATAATATGATCTCGCACGGTGAAAGTAAACGGTCTTTCAGTAAACACTTTCGACCTAATACTCCGCTTCGACGGAAATTGCTGGTAGGGAGCTGCTCCAAAGTGTAAACAATCTTAAGAGTCTTTAATATTGGTTCGATCTTTTCATGCCATCGTATATTCTCTGGTTATTAATATGACCATGGAGCTAGCTCCATGATATAACTGCCTATCGTACACTGCCAAAGAAAGTTCGTCATTTTTTGCAGGCAATGCCGAAATTACAGTTTATAATAACACCCCCCCCCCCGCTTTAAAATATACCTTATTCGTAGCACCCATTTTATAGATGACACAGTTCGTTATTTAATAATGCATACCCCCCCCCCCAAAAAAAAGGCATTGCCCGTAACATGGCTGCTACGCATAACCAGTTTCGACGGGTTCGTTTTAAATTTTCTTAACCAAAAAAAAAAACACCTCACTGCAGAAGTCTTTAGTTAACAGATTTTTCATGAACCACCTGTATAGACCCATCCCGTTCAGCAACAATGTTGGAGGTGTTTTTTTTTTTTCTCAGTTTAATTCAGCGACAAATGAATGCCCAAAATATCTACTCTTTCATATTTCTGAGGAAGAAAAGCACGTCCCTCAAAGAATAAATAGGGTCTATATTTTTTTTCAGTCTAAAAACTAAAAACCTAACAACCTTTTGTGGAGGTAGGTTTATTAATAAACAGATACCTTGTACACTGTCTGTGACACTTCAGCAATTGAAAAAAAATCGATGAATGGTATTTTTTTGTTAGTTATGGAGAAAGTATGCCTACGGCATACTTATATAGCGCAAAATGCCATACAGATACATGTTTTTTGATGCCAGAACAAAGAAGACGAGTACAGCCGGGCTAAGCCAACCGGGGCCCCGGCGTGCACCTGGCCTCACAACCGCCCCCTTTGTGCCCCTGGAGTCGGTGAACAATAGACCCGCCACGTGTATTGGACATAACGGCATGCGACGTGCACGGGGGACAAGTTAAAAGAAACTTGGCTCATTGTCCCCTGAAATTATCCCCTCCAAAAATTCGGGTCCATTGATAATTAGCATAACAATGTAGATCTTAATTCGGCTAGTGGATAGATATATATTTTGGCCATGTTATTAGAGAAAGGGGGGACTTTCGGCAGTTCATTTCTGGGTCAAAATGTGTGTCTCAACAGCGGACATTAAGGCATGACGATCATGCCTATTAGAATCTTTTGCATTTCCTAAAAGTAACTTTACCGAATTGTTATTATTATTATTTATTTATTTGCCATCACAACAGAAAAACATAATACAAAACATGATGACTGGAACTTAAAGGGAATGTACATCATTTTGCTGTAATTTTCAGAAATGAACTATTTGAGGGGTTAGTATAATAGATCAAATATTGTTTAACTGACATGTTTGAAGTTTTGTGTTCGAAAATGCTTGAAAAACCAAGAAAAACAAAAATGTTTAAGTAGTCCGGTTCCCTGACTCCACTAAAGATAAAATGGATCAATTTATAGATGTCGGAAAATTGTAAGGTAAGGGAACCAGTCTAGCTGGCCTGCACCCGTTCATGAACATGTAACCAATAGCAAACAAAATTTGGACTGAAACAACAATTGTAAATTTGGAGCAGTAGTTGAAAAAATAGTTAGGTTTTCCCAACGGTGGTCGGCCGACCACCGTTGGAAATTTATACAAAAATACAATTTTCTTGAAAATGACTTGACATCAGGTGCCATAATTTTACAGGATGCTTTAGACTGTCATTTACCAACATCCCAGTAAGGTATTTCGTAAAACACTTGGTAGTTTTATTTTTCGATGTTTGCAAATGTTGTATATTCCCTTTAAAAAGTGAACCTAATCACTATTGTCCACAGGCATTTATTTAGTCCCAAGACAATTAAAAAAAAAAATTCAATAATACATTCATAAAAACGAACATTAAACATACGAAACTTAACAAATACACAAGGAATTATTAACAACAAAAGCTTATTCGGATTAAGGATCATACTGGAACTAAACCCCCTGTGAATTATTGCGTTCTGCCTTGCTGTCATTTAGAAGAAACCCAAAAATGTTGGTGATTTCCAGTGCCAGTCAAGTTGACTGACTTGCTGTTCGCGAAATCGTGTTTCGTGATCAGCAAAGACACCGGGGACTTAGTATAACTGATCCTGCGCAATGCATCGTTTAAGAAAACCGGAAATGAAATGAACCTGAAGATTTGAAGCGTGTTACAAACCTTAGAAATATTGTAGTAAAAATGACAATTGTGTTAGGGACCATGCTGGGTTTTTCCATTTCAACAAGTGCAGAAAAAGGTACCTAGATGTTTATTAATCTGTATTCGGATCACTCACGCGTGGGGACAGTTTCCGGATTAAACCACACACAAAAATTCCCTCTTTCCAATAACGCAGTCAAGCTCGTAAGCGCGCCTGCGCCATTTTTTGTTATATCTAAATACCAATACACAATGAACGTAAATGTCAGAGTATTACGTTTCGCTTTACCGATTCGCCCGCTCACGGTGAATTCAAAACCACAAAGAAACTTACTGCAGCATGTCTATCTTTGAATATTTCATACAAATTTGTGTTCCTCGATGAATTTCATTGTTCTTTTGCTCGTTTTTTTTTTCATGGGTTACCTTGAGTGTAACAATGGGTTTCACTGAACAATGATGTCAGAAACAACTACTTTTCGTGCGTTCTATTTTTATTTGGGAGGTAGAATAACATGTGCCAGTGGGCTGACTACTGTCTTTTTTGTTGATTTATTATTTTTGTTCATGTCCAAACAAAAAACAATCTTAGTTCGAGAAGTGCATTTTTTACTGTTTTTTTTTGTACAGTATTGTCATGTGTCTAGTTCGTGAGATTGTATTGTACGGGTCGTTTGGTAAATTAAAGGTAATAGTCTAGTGGAACCCTAGTCGAAAATGACACCATGTCAGTGACTTAAACACTAATTCATGCCCCTTAAAGTGCGCGCCCCTTTAATACATCGTGGTTTTTCAAGGTTCAATGTTTATGGGTTAAAACATGGACCCTCTTAATAAAAAGACACCACCAAAGTTCGTGTTACAACTTGAAGACACCACCACTGCCGCCGTATATTTCTTGTACAAAGAGCGGGTAAGACCACGCCCCCAGCCTTTCTTTTGTAAGCTGGTCCAGGTCACGCGCAGACCCGCGCTCATGAATATTGAAATCGCCCTTGATAGTGTTTCCTGGACGGACGTACACTGCACGTCAATCATTCCAGCAGCACGTGGCCGAGAGCGTCCTACGCGCTCCGCCATTGGTCAGTTGCGCTCCTCGGCTTGGCGTCTGGCTCGCGAGTCCCAGTGATGGTTGAGTAGTGTGGGTGCCCCCCAAATTTTTATATTATCCCCGTTGTTTGGCCCTGTCTGTGCACCCTAGCGCTGTTTGCACTCGTCTGCTGTAAAACCACCTTGGAAATTCGGGATTAAAACTAAAGCGTGCGGGTATGTGCGACAACCAACACCGGAACTGGCCGGCGATTTATCTGTGAATGATCGCTTCTTCAGTCTCTATCTTTGTACCTTTTTGTCTTCATCGGAGAATCCTTCAGAGAAATACCCACCAAGAACAAAGATCGTGGGGGTTTAGCCCGCTTAGCCTCGCCTCTTTTGGATATACACATCGCAAAATTCTCCCAGCCTGTGAATAAAAACTCACGGATCATTTTTATTTTGCAGTGGAGATATTTTTTTTATCATCGACCAGGCATCAGATAATGGAACGGACATGAATGGATATAAACTTTGTGACTTCGCCAGAACAAGTGCAGTAGTAAACACGGTAAATTGTTAATTCATTTTTTCATTCCCCCTTTTCCAATATTTACCTTTTGATTTCACCGCATGATAAATTTACGTTTAATTGCACTCGTGTTTTGTGGCTCCCCTTTTTCAGTCCCTGTATTTATATTTCTTTTCTTCTTCTTTTTTTTATCTGTGATGGCATACACGCATCCACACTGTTCTTGTTTAGAACAAGGGCATGTAGGGGGTTAAAAAGTGGCCACATTTTTCAGTGTGGACATTTTGTGTGTTTGTCTTGTGTTCGGCAGCGCTGGCTTGTTCCACTAGGTTTGTACAGCTGTCGGCCGGGCGATGTGACGTCGAGATAGCGCGCTAAAATAGTCCTGTTGTACTGAGTCATAACTTGCCAAAACGACCCGCACATGTTCATCAGTGCAGTAAATCAGTTTTAGAAAGAGAACAAAAAACACCGTTTTTTGTTACTATTATATTAAGCTTTTTGTGATCGATGATGACGATAATGCACAGGAGATGGTAGTTTTTGGCGATCTTTTTTTTTTCATTTCACGCGGGAAAAGGGGCGGTACGTCTGTGGTTCATGAAGCCACTGTGATTTGGAGGAATGAAGATTGCAATCCCTTTACGTACAAACATTCTAGGTTTTATTCAAGAATGATATCCACCTAAAGACGTCTTGTTAATGCATTGAATTTTAATTCGACAGATCAGATAAAAATTTCCCCCGTAAAAGAAGCTACAGCCGCTCCTCAGATGCCTTCGTTATCATAGCCTGGCGGACACACGAGACACGATCATTCAACAAAGATGAGACGAACACAACGGGTGAGTAATAGCAGTGAAGATGATGACTTAATATCGCCTGGTCCTACAGGCTATTTGCATCCATAGATGAATCATGATCTTAACGACTTGGCTACCGAGCCACAAAAAAAAGTGACATTTATATTACAGATTATATAAAGCCGAAGTTCCATTACCAACGTTTCATGAATGAGTAACGAACTGCTATAAATTTATGGCAATTTGTATGCGGATTTTTTTTCTTCTCAGCCAGTGCCAGTGGTGGCATTTCAGAAATCGAGTGCGGCGCTAATAGCATTTTGCAACAAATAAATTAATCATTTTGAACGCGCCTCACGGTCAGAATTTTAAGACACGCTGTCGTTAAATTTTAATGCTGTGGTTCGTTCCTTTTTTGAGAACTCCATGTTTTTTTGTTATATAGGCAAAAAAATGCTCAATAAAAATCGTTAATTTTATTCAACAGGTCTTTTCTTTTCACAAAATATCATGAATTTAGCGGCGGATAGTTCCGAGTAAATTGTTAGGCTTAAATTAAGACTTGATGAACTTCCAACATCTTTTTTCCCTTAAAGTTTTAGTTGCCTTGAATGCAGTATACTTTCTTCCAATATAATATTGTTTTCTTTGACATTCTTTTTCCCAGAACTTCTACATTATGGCCAAAACCGCATTTTTTTTCTGGGGTGTGTGTGTTTGTGAATGGTATTTTTCTCCCCAGAATGTTCCTATCAAACATTCAATTTTGCCTCTTTGTTGAAAAATATGCATGCTATTTTCGGGGTTCTGTAGATGATGTATAGGAATTCTAAGAAAAAGGTGCGCTTTCAAGATTTGTTTTTCTAGTGGTGCAATTTGCATTCCACTGGCGTAAAAGTTAATAGCTAAATTAAACTTGCGCTATTCCCTTCCCCGCTTACACTGTTACATCTTCTTGGAAAACACGTGGAGTTCTATACGACTCGGCACTGGCTCAGCGTATAAGACCCGATAACGGATTTAATGCGAGTCTAGTCGGAGGTCCCACGAGGCGGGCGGCGTGGTTCGGGCAAGTCCAGGCATGAGTTGTCGTAAAAGCTTGCTTTCATGTTGTTGGGAGATTGAGGCAGTTCAAGACGAAAATACGATCTCGTTAATTGAGGACTGCCAACCCAGGAAAATAATGGACATAAACGATGAATAAACATTCGCTTGAAAGCGTGTCATTATGTTAGGCTATAGGAAGGAAGTCGAAGGGGACATTCACGTGAAGTTCATCCCAACACAGCAGGGAGACCGCAATTTGCGTTCATCCAAGTTCTGTCGAAAGTAAATCACAAGTCTATTTATAAGATGGATTTTGCGACGGGGTGATGTAAATTTAATATTAGATTTTGCCCTTCACCGACGTCTAAACACTGTATGGTAACACACTGAGTATACAGTGCATGCAGTGTTAGACGTCGGGAAGGGCAAAACCTAATAATGAATCACAAGTCCTTTCAGTTTCGCAAGTGGATGAACCATTATTACAAAAGGATGCCTTTGTCGCCGTTCATTTGAATAGCTTGTGACTGGACTTGAGACCAGATGACTTGGGATATACAATGTACTTGTCCCCGGGACTTGAGATGCAGTCGTCTAAAACGCTGGGAAACAGATCTGAAGTTCCGCCTGCTTACAGTTTTTTACTTGAATTGATAAACTTTGAAAGGCTGTCGGCCTTTTGCATAATAGGCATAGACCTTATTCGCGATGAAGCTATTTTCAATCGTGTTCCCTGAATCTATTTTATACATTTTAAACAGTTGAATGGGATGGTGCCAGACTATTTTATGATTGGACTGCGTTCTAAGCCTCACTTTCCCTTTTTTGTAAATGTGACTTATTACATAAGGTATGGTTAATCACACATGGTAAATTATTCATCAGAGCAGACTGGTATTAATTTGTAGTGAACTTTTATTTTCATTGCTTTCATTTCTACTCTCAAGTTCCAAAAATGAAGAGTTTACATCGCTTTCAATTTACTATATGACCGAGTCATGAATAAAGACGGTCTATTATTTTGAAAGAGGGGCTTCACTCTTCGGAGTCTTGAATTGATCTTACGTAACAGCCCTGTAACCTACATCACCGCGACGTTAAAGAGTCTGTTTTCCAAGTTAACCCTCAATTTGATAACAAAATGGTGGCCTTATATGAAAGATTGTGTGAACTTCGTTGCCAATTGTCAAGACCGCATATTCACTAGGTAGGGGCGGGCCGAAGTCATCCGATGAAAACATCTATTCATTTGTACACCTCTGTCTTCATCGGTTGCTATGTGTTACCATTCAGTGCACTCCAGACTCAAGAACTATTGAGTTTCAAGAATACAGGTCGGGGAGCTAGATAAGCCATGTAAAAAAAAAAATCCCGGATGTCCGCGCCCACCTGTACTCCAATCACCTGTGGCCAAATTCATGGTGCTACTAAGCAGAAAATACCAAGCAGTTCTGGTGGCTAAGCAAAAAAAGCAGAGTACCAATTAGTAACAGTAGACATTGCATGCCATTTGGTTGGTAACCCGTTTTTGCTTAGCATAACTCTGCTGTGCTGAGCAGAATTCTGTGTTAGCAGCTCCAAGGAAATTGATCCCGCACTCAACATGCGACGAGTTTAATTGCAATTTTCCTCGCATGTTTTCTTTAATTTAATTTCCCACTCGCCACACTTCGCTCTCGATTATTACACGGAAACTTGAGGCGTAATCACGCCCGAAACTCAAGTGATTACGTAACTAGTTAATGATTCTTTCCAGCTTGAAACGTTAGCCATTAAGTTTACGCTCGAACTATTAAAGTGTCCATTACGTAATCAGAATCGTTTCTGTTCCGTAAATGAAATCTCACAATGACTGTCTGACAAAGTTTAATGGAGATAGTACATTCACACTGCATATATAGGCCCAACTTTGATAACAGTGCACTGGCGAGTAAACATCGATGAAAACCAGTGACAAGCAATCCATCACAGCACTTTTTTGGCTGGTAACCGAGCCCAATTTCATGGAATTTTACACCAAACATGAATTATGATCACCATTCTTACAGAAATTCTCACGCCTCACCACGCAAGCGCAGAACCCTTAGTTACAGGATGTGTACGCATGCGCACAACTCAAAATTCCTTTAGTGGCCCCTGCTTGAAGACGCTCACACATGATCTTCTTGAGTTTAAGTGGGTATTTTTTTCGCTAATACAGCAAGCAGTTACATGAAATTTAGCCCTGGGTTTGGTGTTCACAGTATTTTTTGCACTTGAAATGTTTGGCTCTTCTGGTTCTCGAGCTATTTCGGATTTGGAGGTCAAGGTCTACAAATTAAGTGGCACGTATAAATGGCCTGTGTACCTGATGTCATCACTCAAAACCAATCACTCAGTCTCTTTAGCTCTCTAATTTGCAGGGCAACTGCCCGCCGTTGAAAGACATGAATTTGTACAGTCATGGTCAACTCTTCTTTCTACGGTCACTGTATGCCACATCCCCTTATGATCTCTGTGCCAAATATTGATGATAAATTGACGAATTTGTCACGATTTGTTTTTCCCCTAGGATGCGTCGACTCATCGCCGAGCTATCGAGAAGCGAAGCAGGGAGAGAATTGGCCACAGTTTGAAAGAACTGAAACGACTCCTGCCAAACTTCAAACAGGTAATATTTTGTAATGATTCTTACATTATTATCCCTCTAAACAGGCGCCTTGTTAGAAAATTATGCAGCTCCGCCCATAATTCAAACAGGTAGCATCTTGTATAAACCAGTGTCTCTCCAAACAGGCTGGGATTAAAGCCAAGTAAATATCGCTCGGAGGGTAAAATCATGACTCACCAACACTTTGTCAACTCAACTTGCAATGTGAAACTCGACATACAACTGGGGAATATCATTCGGAGATTCAATCACAGGCCGTATACATCAATGATGATTACAGACGAACTCCATCGTGCAAAAAAACCCTCTGTATACATCTGCGGGGATTGAGCAGGGGGAAAAAAGACGAACTGAAAATTTAAGAGCTCTGCCAATTTGATGTTCCGACCCTCTCGATTTGCCCTAATTTAAGGAGTCCCAGGTGGGACGCGTTTCTATCCGAGCCGTAAGTCCCGTTGTGGCTTAGGCTGGCTGAATTTTGTTTCAACAACGCTGGTGCATCAAAGATACCGCATTGACATTTCAGGTCAAGTTCGGGATTGTGTATGTTTTAGTCTCCCTTACCAAATTAGGGATGTCATTTTCTTAGTTGGGGAATTGTGCTGGGCCATGGCGGGTGAGATTTTAGCCCTCTTACTTCATAGGCTTTTGTACCTGACTGACTCCCAGACTCCCCGACTGACTGACTGACTGACTCCCCTCCCCGTCTGTCAGTTGACTTGTTAGCCAGGTTGTTGGCTGGTGAAGTGAGCCGGGCAGTGCTATTATATAGGATTACCTCATAATGGGCTTAATCCAATACCAGATGCATGAAAAACTTCCAGTGGAAAACCATTCTGAAAATATATTGAATAACATTTGTGTGCGCTTGTGGGTCAGCTTTACACCAGGAGTAACTGATTGTGTGTATATATCCGGTGTATATCTGTCTTCAACTTTCTAACAAAAGCAAAAGTCAAGACTCGAACAGGCAGTAGCTTGACCCGTGAGAACTCGTGAGCGCGTCATTTCCGTTCGGCTATATGCGTGGGTAGCCCAGATGCCCCCAACCCACCTACCCACAAAATGATAAAAGTCTGAACAGTGATTGTGGTGCCAGTTTAGCATCTGCTGGAAAAATGTACCGACAGCCGCGTCTAGAGATTTCCGATCCGAAGACAGCTGTCCCGAGAAAATGGGAAAACCATTTGTCTCAATTTTCTTTAATTTGGAGCATCTCTCACCGATTTCACCGAAAAAATCGAACGCTGAAAGGCGGTCGAAAATCGTTTTTGGAAAAAGCAATTTTTGAAAAACGACTTGGAGTTTCACTTGGAGTTTTAGGTTAGTTTTTTTCCCTAAAAGGACAACTTTAGTTTCGATTGGATTTTTTATGTGATTTCATTTGATTGTCATAATCATCATGACAGTACATAAAAGGTTCTTTCTGTACAAGTTTGTCGAAATTCAGAGATTGTATATTTTTTTGTATCACACAAGGATTTTTTACACTAAAATTCCTCCAAAAAATTTTGGTATATGAAAAATTATGGCTTGATAAATTTAAAGTGTCTTTTTTTTTAATGTGCCCACTATAACGCGTATCAAAAAAGACACCTGTCGTCCATATTGCCAAAAAAACACAATCTTTGTCATTTTCATAAAAAAAAGGACAAATTCCCCTAAAATACCGACAGCTGCAGGCCGAGAGGATGAAAAATATACCTTGGACTAATCTGTTTCATAACAAGAACCCAAAGCCGCCAAACAAAAAAACACAATCACACTTACGAAATTTTAAAGCATAATAATAATCGCACAATTACCTGAACCGTATTGTCGTCAACCAATAAACAGCCAATTTCATACAGAATAGGCGATGCCAGCTTCTTGCATCATCACTTCTCGACCAAAATAACTGCTTTGATCATGTAATTCCATAAATTTAAAAGACCCCAAATAGCAGCAATAGAAAATGGCTTCCGACGCCAACGGACCGAATATGCGTTTCTCTTTTCATAAATATCAAATTAGTTAACACGTTGTTATGACCCGCCTGACATGTTCGGGCATATGCCAATTACTTGGCCGAAGCTTTCTTTACATCAGTTCGCTTCATTTGTTGGCAAAATTGACCCCGCGACCCTGAAGCCAAAACTCCCATTTAACACCAGTAATGGAACTTCTCTTCTGTTGATATCATTTAGCTTCAAATCCTTGTAATTTTTGATTTTTTTTTAATTGGTGCGTTTCGTAGGCGGGCAAAATGAGAAAACACTCCCCCTAGACTTTGGGAGGTTTAAAGGGGATACCTAACTGCATCGTGTGGGTTTGACGGACTAATTAAAGGGGTACGCTCGGAACATTTTTTTCTCTGAGAGTCATTACATTATTGATTTTTTGATTGGTACGTTTTTGTCTATGGGCACAAGGGATAAAAACATACCTGGGATTTGAGAGTTTTAAAGGGATCTGCATTGTGTGAGTGACGGGACTAATTAAAGCGGTACGTTCGGAACATTTTTTCTTCCAATTCATTTATTTTTTGATTTTTGATTTGTCCGTTTTCATCAGTGTGCATATGGGATAACGCACCGTTTGGGACTCAAAAAGGTTTAAAGGTGTACTACACTGTGTGGGTATAACGGGATTAATTAAAGGGACACTTTTCGAAAGCCACTTGTTGCATACAATGGTTGCTGTCAATTAGCAGCATCGTAGGGGGCGCTGCCTCGTTGACGTCATTCAACAAGTTCTGACGTCATCTCATTCTAATCAAGGCAGGTGTTCGTATTGTCTGTCTCTTTTTCCAACCCCCGGCCTCGTTTCCGATTCGGCTACATCTTAGGCAAGACTTCGACTTTAGAAACATCAAACCAGAGGGTGCAGCATATTTCATATTAGTAAGCTAAGCTCGGTGGAGTCGTATACTAATGTATACTTTGACCTCAATTTGCATATTGACCCCAAGTGGGCGTGGAAATCCTTGGTGAAGCCATTTTGTCACATAATTCATCATCAACGTTATGTTTTGCGCAATAACGATGCGTTTTGGAGTGTTTTTATATAGAGATAATGTTGTCATATTTAACTACTTATATTATAATATTTCACGTGCCAACCGTGACTTCGGAGGACAGTGAAATCGGAGTATATCTACCATTTAAAGGGAAGATACAACATTTGCAAACATCAAAAAACGAAATGATCCAATTATCACGAAATACCCCACTGAATTGTTGGGGACTGAGTCTAATTAACATCCTTTAAAATCGTGGCTCCTGGTGTGCTGACATTTTCAAGAAAAAATGTATTTTTCCAACACTGGTCGGCCGACCAGCGTTGGAGAAAACTGGCCTTTTTCAAAACCTGTTCCTAATTTTTCATATTTAGTTATTCTGAGTTTTCTTTGCAATTGATTACACACCTGTGAAGGGGTACAAGCCTGCTAGACTGATTCTCCGACCTTACAATTCCCCAAATTGTATTAATTGTTCTGTTTCATCTTAAGTGGGGTCAAGGAACTAGACTACAAGAACATGATAGGTTTTCGTGGTTGTTCCAGCATCTACAAGCCCAAAACGTGAAACAAGTCAGTTTTACAATATTTTCTATAACATACTAATCCTCCAAATCCATTTATTTCTGAAAATTGCAGCAAAAGCAAATGTTGTACATTCCCTTTAAGCATCTGCATACAATAACCAAGCCTCTCCACGAACCCTTGGAGTGACACAAAAAAGTGACACACATACATCAGACAGACAAACAGACAGACAGCGTATGATCTTTTAATAAAGGATACTTCTCAACTTCCTTTGGACAAAGAAATACTGTAAAAAAAAAAAAAAAAAAAAAAACAGAGCCGCAATTTTAAAAACCCCACGGCTCAGAAGCTATAACGCCGCACCCTCCCATTAATCATAACAGCTTTTCAGTATTCACTAAAAGTTTTTTTTTTTGTGGAAATTTCCCCGTATCGATTTGTTACCCTAAATATCAATGAATGCTCGTCAAATTACCGCCTCGCCACCTAGAGCGTCCACACTGAATGATGCCAGTATTCTAAAAACATTCATCATTACGATCATATCCCTTGGCGGGCCTTAACAAAACACAAAATCACAAGCAGCGAAAAAAATATGAATTGTCTAGTAGCGATAGAAAAAAAAACCACTACACACAAAAGTGGTTGCAAAATACAAGTATGCCCGTACGACGAAGGAAAATAAATGGTGCCGATCATATCCGTTGAACGTTTGGGACGCGTCGCCTGCGGGCTTGTTGAACCATGTCGGGGTTGAAGAACCAGTGTGGAGCACATGTTTTTGTTTTTTTCTTATTCTCGTGACAAAGTTGAGTCAAAAAGCCCTGGAAAAAAAATGAATCAAAAATGATATTGCAATTCAATTACTTCCGCGCATTTGTGTAAAGTCTGGTAACGCTATATGGATACGGACTATTGCCGGGGTTCTTTTTGTTACTGTGTATTCAGAAAACGGTTGATTGAAATACGGAGGGTTTCCCGTGAGAAAAATAAATTCTCACTGGGACTAGCTAATGATTTTTGGATCTCATGCTTCCTTGGCGATTAAGTAAACACAACGACGCTGCCAGCCCCTGGTTCGATGTAGCCGGCATGTTTCCGACGAGTAACTGGTAAAATTTCTAGAAGATGTTCTTAGCACATCTTTTGAGCAGAAGAAAAAGTGCTTTTGTGGCGCAAAAAATAATGTGCTTGTATTCCAGTGACGTTAAATAATGTGAAAGAGGTCGTTTTATGCAAATTTGACACGTGATCTTTAGAGACCAATGACTTTTCAGTATCCAAGACTTGATATACATTGCAAGATTGGTTATAATGACACGTGCTAAAGACCGTTTGCATTCAGTCATATTTGAGGTCCGTTTGTTAACAAACTTTGTTATTAGTTTCTAGTCAACTCATGCATGTTCACATGGAACACAAACCACCCACCTAAAAAAAAATGGATCGATTTTTTTTTTATAGCACGCCGCTG